AGGAGAATCTACAAAACTTAAAATTTCCTATGAGGAATTGAAATAATCAAACTCTTATTCAGAGTCACATTACATTTAGGAAGTGGAACAGTAATGCACCATCAGACATCACCATAAACAAAACAAACTAAATGGGAAAGGAAAAGAAAAATATTTTCAATTTTTAAGCCAAGTTTCATTGTCTGTAACTCTACAGCCTATATCAACAATTACTGGGTTTTGTAACCGATGTATTTTCTTTCTGTTGGCTCTGTTAACTCAAAAAAAAAAACACCACTTAATGGAACTTTTTCGCTAATTAAGCTGATCCGTTCATCAGACAGATTTTATCATCAAAGAGGCATTGATTGACCACTGAACTGGTAAAAAAGCTTGCTCTTTTTCAAGGGGAGAGGCCTATTATTAGTGCATTTGATAAATTACACGAAGGCTTCGATATTCTTATACCTAGAATATAATTAATCCATCTGTTCATTAGTCGAGAGTGTTCGTTTACGGAAAATGCTGATCGTGTAAACTAAAAGATAAATAAAATTAGGTAAAATCGACGATAAGGGCGCTTAAACCACGAACAAAGAGATATGACAAATTCGAGAAAAAAAATCATGTTCTTTGACTTGGGTGAAACACTTTGTTTTATTTTCCATTCAATACAGCTTGGAGCTGTAAACACACTATATTATGTTGAGTTAAACATTCAAAAGTTCAAAGACGGGAAATACGACCTAAGATCTTGTTTTACAACATTTTAGACCACTGACGTCAAAGTATATAAAGACAATTTGAACCACCGCATGATAATCTTTGTCAAATACCATAAATTTTTCATGAGGCAGGCAGAAGTTTTAGTTTCTCCACCGGTGTGTGTTCGCTCTGTTTACGTATTCGCCTCCTAATATTCGCCATAAATACTTGGATTAGCTCCATAGTGGTAGTAACTAATATCAGAAAGAGAGGCCAGTCGTCAATCCACGGTTGAAGTGAGCCGCGTAACACAACCGTGTATGTCAAGAAATAGCTTGTACTAATAGAATGACCTCACGTGCGGCCGGGGAGGCATACCGAGGTCAATTAAAAACTGGCTCCATTTGTCTGCCATAACATGAATTTTAGATTTCCTTTGACCTTCGCAAAGTGAAGACATTGATGCAGAACTGTAATGGTTGCAAAAGGAAATTATTACGAAGGGCTAGGGGGCCTGGAACCCCACTGCTCGATGTAAAGTTTAATTACTCCGAACATCTGTATAGAGTTAGCTCAAAGGTGTGAGACAAGACACCAGTCCAAAGCTAGATCTTTAAAGGAGAGAATTCCTTGTACATGCACAAAAAAGGTAAGAGTTTCCCTAGCTTATAATATCGATTTGGACAGTTCATTTTGGTTTGATTAGCAGTGGAAGCTATTTATCGTAAAATTTGGGAAAAAGCGCTTGATCATTAGTAGATAAATCTTAAACATACGCAGCTATTAGCAAAATTAATCGAAAGGACGGGAGTCTTCAGCAAGAATAGGTGCAGTAATTGTGTAATAACTTAACCAGGCAAAAAACCACTCTGGGGTTGGTTACTTTGGTAAAGCGTAGCCCATTCAGTACAACACTGCAAATGAAACTGTGCAGCATTTATGTTCAGATACAGTGGGCGGAAATCGAAGACCAGTCCACACCATATGTGGGCCACATTGTAGCTTAAAGAGTTAAGATTTTCAACCACAAATGGCAACGTTTTATTGACCTTAGAATCAGAACATTTTCGTTTTTATGGCACAAAGCAGTCAGTACCATGAGAGATTAATTCACTCTCCGTTTCGTAGTAATAATAAAAACCATTCAGGAGGTTTAAGAAATGTGTAGCGCAAAGACATTTCTTCATCTCCATTCAACCACTCGCTGATTTTATCGCAAAATCTATATCTTAACCTTCCTTGACACCAAAATAAGATTAATTGCGGTTAAGGAAGGCCACATGTGAGTATTCAGATAACACAAATCAGTTATTGTTGCCAATTTTTACTTTGGACTATAGTCACAAACCTAGAGAGACGTAAACATACTAGTTTTAGTCAAACCATCAACCAATCAAAGTTTGCCATTCGTTTGCTCGGACAGAGATTGGTAGACAACGATTCTGGAGCTCAGAAAACGTCGGGCATGCGTTGAGCATGAGTAAATGGATCAATCTTGGCCGGCCGCGCGCCAATTTCCCGCGCAAAATTTCAAGGGAAAACCTTAAAAACGACCGCTGTCATGCAAAATGTCCGAAAAGTATCAATCATCTTCTTATCTACTCATGAGATATACAAAAAAAATTGAAAATTAATTGGTAATCTGTTAAAAGTAGACAAAAGTGATTCATTCTGTTGATTTACCATTTTGTTCTGAGACCAGTTTACAGACACCACCGAGTCTAACCGGCTTGTAGTATTGTTTGTAAAGTGTTTGAGACAATTTGGTTGCGACGACTTGAAAGTGTGCCGCCCAGCTGCGACGACTTACGTGCACGCGCAAACACTGAGTGGCCAGAGTGTTTCTGACATCTTTTTACGGGAGCCTCTGCGAAACAGACCAGATCTAGGAAACGTCAAGACAAGGAAAGCACTCGTTTAGATCTCATTCCCTCAGTAGTTTATCTTGCATTTCTTGTCGAATCACGTTTTTAGAGATCCCTGGTGGAATTCAGTAGTAATACCAAAACTTGTGTCGTCGATGTTCAACTTGCTCAAACTCTAATCTCTCTCCTGAGTAAGGCTTAAATCAATCCCAAATTGTTCTTTTGTTCTGGATACGTTTGAAAACAAGCAGGGTGATAAAAGCTTCTTTTCTCATATGGCATTTATCAGTTTCGTCTCGTACGTTTACGTCCAGTCTTGTATTATATTGGCAAATACCTTGCAGGTTTTCATATCATTTTTTATCATTTTGGTCAGTCAGATAAGTTTCCGGACGGTAGTGATGTAATTATTCAACGCTAGTGTTCTTACAACTCAAATACCCCGTTGTCTTTTATTTCATTTTTTTTTTAATTTGATTGAAAAAAATTCCTCGTTACCCTCATTCCACAAATCTACCTCATCCGGGCTATGGATAAGACATAAACAGCTACCGATGGTGTAATAGGCTGCTGCGCCCGGAGGAGGGAACATACGGCCCCTTTTCCCCCCAGGGAGGTTCTGAAAGCATAATAAAAAGATGGCGGATAGAGGTCTGATATGCGGCGATAAACCGCTGGTCACAATAACCGGCTTTTACTAAAATATTTGCTGTTAAGTATTATAATTAGAAACCACCAACTAGAAAAGATAACATTCGTTTTCTAAACTTATGATATTTAAGTCCATTCATCATCGGTAAGGTCCATTGTGGAAAGCATAGAATATATTGCTGAAAATTATAATCTTTCTGACAACAAATTGATTTGAAAGAAAAGTAGGAATGATTTTGATTGCCCAATAATTTCCGAAATTTTGTCTAAAAGGAAATTCGAGTCCAACACTTCACATAGTCGATCGGACTCAATACACGCTAAAGTACTTACGAAAAACTTAACGACTCTAATGCACTTTTTTTGCTTTTAAATATTTTTATTACATGTTTTATTTAAAAGCCACTCTCCTGTATTTATGCTAATTTTACACTTTAATTCTGTGCGTGATGTTTAACGACTTTGCATCCTTGAGCTTGATAACTAAGATAACATGAGAGTTTCATAAAGTTTTTCTTTCTTTACATTACCTACTTTTATTTTCATATTATATTCGAATTGTTTGTCGGTAATTGTTTTAAAGCAAACATATTAGCTCGTTTAGTTTTAGTCTCGTTGACCGGACTGAACTGGCCAAAGACGTAAGAGCGATTTCAACGGCTGCCACCGTGGCTCCATCTTCCACGAGAAATTTAGGGGCTCATTTACACCTGCTACTAGGAGCAGTCACAGCGGCGACGCTTTTCAAAAACGCGATTGAAAATAAACCTACCTTTCCCTCAAAGTTTTGCGAATCGTACATGTGCTTACCATTTCTGACGACTCCAGACGTTCCTTTCAGCGATTATGCAGAAGCAGCATTGAGTTCAAAAGTTTTTTTTAGCCGTGCGTTGCTCTCTTCTGAAGCGACGGAAAATTTAATAATTTCACGTTGTTCAGAAGTCGGTTAAGAAAAAAAAACAACACGTCATGGATGATGACAACGTGAAAGTGGCAGAATAAAAAGGTTTAACGAGCACAATAATAGCTCTGCACGTGATTTTTAAAACTATTTGAAATTCCAATCGTCCTCGACAGAAAAAAACGTGTATAAATCATCAAACTCCACACAGTCTGAGAGCCGGAGCCGGCTTGATGGCAAACAATTTCCGTTTTTAGAGGGAGTATAAGAAAACCACGACGGCAATGGCAACGGGAATGTCGATAAACAAAAGGTTTAATGAACAGAATAATGGCTATGCACGTGCGTTATAAATTTTTGTAAATTTCTTTGCGTCCTCTGCAAAATAACAACCTGAAATGACCAAACTTCGCGTCGTCTGGAGAACGTGAACGGCGATGGCTAATTTTTTTAAATTTCTATCTCTAATTTAACGCTCTGTTCCATGTTCAGTTTCGAGATAGTTTTGACAGGGAGAAACAAACTTAATGACTTTAGATTATCGCGAGACTCATAGGTAAAATATAAGTTCATCTTTTAACCGAAGTTGGCCACGGCGTCGCCATCCTCGTTTCTTAAACTCTCCAGTATCACGAACTCGGCGCTTCCTTTACATGTTATGTTGAGAGGGTGCCGCCGGAGGAAAACACACGATCTGAATCGCGAAATTCAGAGAAATAGAACTAATCCACGATTGGCTAAACTGCTCTAACTCCCTAATTTTCAATCGCTAGTGCAAGGGGCAGAACAACATTCCTCAAACGAACCAGAAGAAAATGGAAATCTCACAAACCAAGGGAACGCTATGCCGTTCATAGTTGCATACCAGCATATCGGATGCAAAGCGCTAGGTAAACATTTTAGTACAAAACCATTTTCATTAAATGATTTTCAGCTGTATCGATGACCATCTTACCATTTCTCCGTCGGTTTTGTAAGTTTTTTTTCCTTTCTTCTGGCTCAGCCGTGTTGTTATCAATCCGTTTATCAAGTCTATATACTCCGTAAGACTTTACTGTGCCATTTAACGCTATAAAAACTGAAAAACCTACATTACTTTCATCGTCGACTTCTTTGTCAATTCTTTGAACGTGTAACTTCAACTTGATGGTCAGTGCAATGTAAGCTGACGGTATAACGAAATAGGGAACAGCAAACGTGAACACGAAGCGAACAAATGAGTACTTGTTATAATTTGCGGAAGAGTCCCCAGGAAAATGTGACGAGCAACTGAACTGATTTTCAGATATTTTAACGAGTTTGCGGGTGATAAAATGTGGCAGCGTAATTGCCAAGTCCATGATCCGTATTCCGTTGATAATGCCTGCGATTACCAAAGCTTTTGGTCTTCTTCTGCTGAACGTGACTCTGTAGCGACATAAGGCGATTATGGCCAAGGAATTTGTAATCACAAACATGCTTAGCGCCAGAAGAGGGTTCATCAAGATGCACATCGCTTCGCCAAAAATCCAACTTTCTTTCTCCAAGTAAACTAAGATGAACGCGTGACACAGCGAGTTGATCAGTTCAGCTGCAGCTAAATTGGCCACCAAATAGTAATTAGGAGGAAGGCTTGCGACTAGGAATTTTCCACACTGCTTTACTAATGATAAGGTTACCCACGAGGCTTGTGAAAATCACTAACGAAAAGATTGATAAACGAAAAGTTCTCAACCCAAAGGGTTCCAAGTGCGCTTCTATAAATTGCATTTTCTGGCGCTTTTGATGTGCTAACGCTACTCGGCAAGGTTGCATTCACTATCATTTTAACAGAATAAAATGGAACTCGCTCACAAAAGTAAATCATTGCGAAAAACTTTTGGAGATTATGATTCTTTGATCGACATGAAAAAATAACCCTTAAAGCCAAGTTTTACCTTGTGTTTTTAATTGGAAAGCAACGTAATTTAAATGTTTATTTTTCCGTTTATAGTCGCTGCTCAAAGCTTTCCTTTTCGACAGGTGCATCAGTTGGGAAGAAAGACTTGCGTTTGATCGAAGTGTTATATTCCTCTTACTATTGACATGGTTTTAGAAGCTTCAACTCGATTAAAAAAGCACAATAACAAACCGTATGAAAAATTAGTTGCTATGAAGGACAATTCAAGCAGAGAATTTCCATTGCTGCAGGCTGAACTTAGGAACAAAGCAGCTATTTTGAAATTCAACGTTATCACAACATGCACAAATTTCGGCCCATTGATTGGCTGAGCGCGCTTCGACTTAATTCAAACAGTACGGAAAGTTGAAATTGAGAGCAGGTAGTTGAAATAAAGTTTATTTTTCTGACACGTTATCAATTTATTATTTGGGGAGCGTGGATGAGATGATAACTCAAAAACTTCTAAAGACTGCAAATTCCTCTAGACTTACCCTCGCCTTCCGAGCCACGCAATTTATTTTTGTCTTTGCAATTTATCTGAAATGAGCTGTGGTCTAAAAAACACATAGCCCGCTCAATGCACGAACTACAAATAGTCTCACAAACTTAAGTAACGTGCACTTGCGTCAACGAAGGAAGCTCCCGACAGTTTCCCTTGGGTAATAGTTACATAATTACAATAGGAAAGCTTTATCTGTGCAATTCCGAAAACGAGTTATTTCTCTTTACGATATTTATACATTAGCAAGAAGAAAGACGACGATAACAACAAATACCAACTAATTCTATTAATGTTTAGTTTCGCGGAGGACTGCAAGACTGATTTTAAAGGGGTGAATATTAAGACCTGTGACCTCTGAGAACGAAGAGACGAATTAATAGAGAAATAAACAGCTCACTCCATTTGACTACATGCTTAAGTTTATCGAGTTGGGCAACATAATTTGACATCCACTCGGCTATGTTTTAACGTCACCAGTGAGAAATGCTCATTTACAGAACTTGGTTGGAGGCAATTCAACTTAAGGCAACGCCGCGATGATTTGCTCCTCAAACGTGCCCTGATTTGTGGAATCGTCTCTCTGTCTCTCCGTCTCCATTCGTTACTCTTGCGGAGCCGACAAACAAAACAAGAAATTCTGAGAGAAAAATTTAAGACGTTTTTGAGTCGATAATATTTTCCTTTCCATTTTCCCTTTTCCTTACAAAATAAACATTACACAGGTGGTGGTAACTACATATCCGCCCAATTGAGACTTAAAGTAGACCATTCGAACGCTATGAGGTCTCTCTCGATCAGAACTTCCTCTCTATGACTTCCCTAAACGAAATAGCAATTTTTAAGCTGGCGACAACTTGTCGAAGATGTTGATTGACGAAAGCTTTAACAGCGTATGAATCATCCTTTCAACGTCACAGCTTTTAGCTAGCTACGCAAGCTCCTACATCCACTAAGCTCTTCATTTGGGTTTAAACGCCAAATTGAAGCCGTCATCTGAGGGCACGTTTTCTTTTTAGAATAGAGAAGCCACTCAGCGTTTGTAGATAATGTGTTATATTCACTTTCTCGGGCACTGCAGAGCATTTTGCGGGCTAAAATGGAACTTTTGGCTGGCTAAAATACTATACTTGCACCCTCGCGTGGTTATTCAGACAATCATTTTCTCAGTCATTTTTATTTTGTCAATGCCTACAAATTGTAATGGTAATACAGTTTATGGTCGCGGGCATAACTTTTCAGAGTCATTTTAACTCTCGCCTAGCGGCTCGGGCTAAAATTTACTCCGAGTCTAGCCCAAACACATCATGTTCAAGAACAACCCCTCTATTGTTTTATCGGAAAAAAAAATGATCATGCTTGCTTCTGCTGGTCTTTGCCAGCTGCGTAAAAAACGCTGAAGTAGTATAACGCGATGTACTAAGAACCAAAGCAAAATTTAAAGTAAGGCAGATTGGAGATTTGCGGTTTTAATATCATTTTCGAAACTTAGTGTTATGCAATAGATAATGATATAGAATAAATTACTCAAAAGTGTGCTTTTTTCCTGACTGGAACGCTGTGAAGATACTTAAGTCGCATATCTAATCTTATGCATTACTCCCGCAACTAAAAAACTACTCAGCCATTACATCTTATTTAAACAGCGTTTCCAATTTAACTCTTAATTCCTCTTTTATAGCATTATAGCATTGGTAGTATGGCAAGATGATTTATGTCTCAACCCATTTTTTTTTTTTACTTAGGGCGCGTAATAAATGCAGTTCACCTGCAGTTAAAAGAGTCTTAAACACACCGCTTACTGAGTAGTTTGTAATCATGCGCTCGCTTCAATCCACCCACTCTTCACTTAACTCCTATTGTAAATGTTAACACAACTTGGCGGTATTGTTAGGTTAAAAAAATTGCTTTCTTTTAAAACTGACCTACGTCCTCTTCCAATTAGACTATTACCGATGCGATTTGAAGTACGATGCGTTCGTTAAGTTACTGCGCACGTTCTCGTTAACTGAATATTCAACTATAGCGGGATTGAAATGAAATGTCTTTTTTGTGCCTGTGAGACTGTAAATGAACTAGGCAGATGTGCACATAAACTATGACATTCACAATTGGCGTTTTCTTTAAAAGCCATAACATAGTAAACAGGCTTAGATATTAATTTCCATATTTTGTTTGTTAATTTCTCTCTAACTTTGACACAAAATGATAAACAAAGCTTGACATGCATTTTAAATTTGGACCAGAATGGTTTCGGTTCGCCCTCATAACTATTATTTTCAGGTTTGCATTTCCGTATAACCTTTTATAATTGTAAAATGATCGTTTTTCGTGATAGTGTTGATAAAAGGCGGAAAGACTAGCGTCCCTTTGTCCGGTCGGAATATCATTGTTGAAAACGGATCTTGTAACAAGCGATATTGCCTTTTGCTACTTGCCGAATTCTCTGGTTACGTTTGCTATTTAATGTTTCACTTACAATGAACTGCATATAGCGAGTAAAATGGTTTTCTTTTGTGGCGTCATAGAAAGGTTGTCAGTTTCTACCCTCGAGCCCATAGCAGGTCAGTAAATGTTTTTATATCCTAGACAACTTTACTCTTGGGTATACTTTATGAATACTTAAGATAGCAATTTTACTCTTTTTTATCTACTTATAACATTACGTAGCTTAAGGCGAGTTTCAACAATTTAATAGATTCGTTTCACTTTATCTTCTCTCGGCAATTTTTTCTTCACTCGAAGGGAAAAACACGGTTGTCCTATAAATGTTGGCCTCAAACTGAGGCTCTTGTGTTTTGAGGCTGCGATCTTTTGTCGTTTTTTTATAAAGGGATGAATTGAAATCCCATAATTTGGTGAGCTATACCTAGTGTATCGCGGGTCAAATAAAGCCAATTGTTGTCGACCTTTCCTCTGCCAAGCCCTTCCCCTCCCCCACTGATTAAACGCTTATAGTTATTTGAGTGGGACTCCAAGATGCGGAACTATCGAGGAAACATTTTAGCGAAAATTATTTGGCTTGAGAATTACATGAAAAACGAGCAAGTGGAGGAGGTCATTTTCAACACATTTTTTTTCCTTGCAAAAAGGAAAAGACTAAGGAAGCACAACATGATGCCATTTAAGGTGAAGGAGGATGGAATGATATTTAGATTACTAGGTTATTCCACGTGAAATGCCAGTTAGTCTTTGGATATAATTTCCCTTTATTCGATGTATTTCTAAGAGATGAAGCAGTTTGATTTACTTGCCTTGTTATCAAGTTTCGACGAGAGAGCAGCACCTTAAACTTCTACCTGTATGACAAATAAGAACAACTTGATTATAAACACTACAGGCGTAAGTTAGTTGTCATTTTTTTCCAAAAGCTCTTCAGTAGAGAGCATTCAACCAGAAATATGATTGATTAGCAGAGTAAATCCTACTTTAGCATCACTAACATTCCATGTTCCCTTTGGAAAAAATTTTCCTTTATTCAATGTATTTTCAAGAGATGAAGCAGTCTGATTTACTTCCCTTTTTATCAAGTTTCGACAAGAGAACAGCACCTTAAACCTCTACCGGTAGGCAATTGAGAACAACTTGATTATAAGCACTACGGGCATCAGTTAGTTTTCATTTTTTTTTTCAAAAGCTCTTCAGTGGAGAGTATTCTACCAGAAATATGATTGATTAGCAGAGCAAATTCTACTTCAGTGTCACCAGGAAAAGGGCGTTTTTTTTTCAATAGTTCTAATTCGTCGACGAAAGTGGAAGCGCTTCAGGTCGCATTAGAACGACGCTTTAATTGCAATACCAAACTCAAACGCTATCTACACCATGCTAAATGAACTTTGAAAAACGCAAGGCCGTTTCTGCTATCGTGACTTCCGCCTGGATGAATTTTCCACCAATACGAAGCTTTTCCAAACCGCTCTTCAGAGAAGGATGAATTTGGAAACGCTGACTTAATGGATAGAAAGAATTATAAAAACAGAGCTTTGTAGAAAGCTAAAATAGAGGCTTTTGATTTGTATGCAAGTTATTGGAATATGAAAAATGAGGAGCGATTTTGAAGTTGGAAAATTAAGTTTGGAAAAACGGAAAAAAAAACCTCCTAGCGGAAAAGTAACTAAGCATGATATAAGAGATGTCATGTGAATACCCTCACAATTTCCTTTTAGTTTCCCACTTTTTTATGACATGTCACGACTAACTCTAACTTCTCGAAGATTCTGGGAAGCAAGGGTGTTAGTCGAATGACACATCTTATGATCGTAAAATTCTTTCAACTCGTCCGTTTCTTCTATCTTGCTAAAAGCTCATCTTTAAGTCTCACACGTATAATTATAATTAAAAAAAAAATTCCCTAGATCCTGGAAAAAGTTTTTTTCATAAACTTCCTCTCTCAGTTTGCCGCTTTCCTCATTCATCTTCATGGTTTTTTTCATCGACCAAAAGTTTCCGTTCTTTTCAAATCGTGGGAAGTAAACATTGCCAAAAAGGGATGGTGCCGTTGAAAATTCTAAGACCTCCTCTGATTGTAACACGTTACTAAATACTAAAACTTTTATAAAAGCAAGAATTGTGGATAATTTTCCCCTTAAGCTGCTAACGGTTGAACCGACTCATGAAAGCGTTGCGTGCCCTCATTGATGCTCAGAAGTGAAATGACAATGTGCGGCAAGGTCAAGATTTAGGTTACAACAAAAAATGATAATTCTTAAACCGCTGTGTGTCATGAGGATTAATATTAGGATAACCGGCCTGTTGTGAAGCAGTCAGGGCAGACACACTGAGAAAAAAATCGCGGAACAAAGTAAGACAAATCAAAACAGAAATAGAAGATTCGCGTTGAGCGGAAGACAGCAAGGTCGAAGGTTCTCGATGGAAGTGATACCAAAACCCATATCTCCCTCCGTTTTGAATACCTAGGATTTAGGTTTCATACAAAACTCTACCAATGATGTTACAGAAACGACCTGATATCATATTCTGTAATCTCAGCCCCTGTACCTTGTAATAATATCAAAAAGTGAAAGAGAATGTGTAGGTTTTTTTTCTTTACGCGATATCGCAATCATTATATTCTATAACTGCAATGGCCGGAAAGCAATTTCAAAACAATATGATTCTTCTTAAAGAAGAGTGCGAATGCTTTCTCGTGTTTTTAATGAATGCCATTCATTCATTCGCATTGCCCAATGAAGCTTTAATTTGTTGACAATGGCTTGAAAATTGAGCAAGGTGACACGAGGTGAAAATAGCTTTTTCGTCGTTAAAATCTATCTTGAGAGAATATAAGAGGAAATACTTAAAAAAAAATCAAGTCTAAGAACAAAGAGATATATCTTAATGGGTGATACTTATTCATAGCCTTGTCAACGGATATTTTTCCTTAGCTGGAAAAATGACAAAGACAAAATGGCTTTTAATGGCCCGGGCGGAAAACAAAAAAAAGACCACACCTAAATTATCATGGAACCAAGTATCCAGGTTTGGTTTAAATTTCCAACGCCGGAAAAAAGGAGGTAGTACCGGATCACTGCAAACCACTTTGTCCTCATTATATTTCAATTTTGCAATGTGACCATTCGTTAAAGAAAATTAAAATAAAAAACTCTTTGATAGTTTTCATGGTAGAATCCGGGTTTTGAGTTAAATTGCCAACGCTGAAAAAAAGGAAATAGCACTGCATCACTGCAAGCCACTTTGTCCTCATTGTGCTTCCATTTTGCAATGTGACCATTCGTTAAAGGTAATGAAAGTAAAAAACTCTTTAATCGTTGCCGTGGTAGAATTTTGAAATCAATGTATCCGGTTTTATTCACTCAAAGATCATTAACTGATATTCTCTTGTCGAGATGATGCAATAGACGTATTTGTTTATGCAGATTCATTTGCATTTCAGATCTTCTATAAAACACACAATGATGTTCTCTTAAAGTTCAGTGCCACAAATAGGGGAGCACTTTCAAGAAGATCTAAGCGAGTGAAAGATCTCCTACGAGTGTTGAAAATGTCTTGTTCCGGCTGTACAATGAATCAAACCACTTCTCTAAACGACAACCAAACCGCTACAGGTTCTTCGCTTCTTCCTGAGCCCGAACCTTTCCGAATTGTCCGTACCGTGGTCGTCAGCCTGTTGCTGGCGTTTGCTCTGGTTGGAAATTACGTAGTGTGTCGAGCAGTTTGGAGGCAACCAGGCAACAAACCCTTCGCCCATTACCTCGTATGCAACTTGGCTTTCGCCGAGATCCTCAGCACCGTTAGTTTCATGTTTACATTTCATGCCGACGAACCCCCGTGGTCTTGGAAGCTCGGATTAGCAATGTGCAAGATACTGACTCTGGCACAAATGGCTAGTCTGCTGGTTATCACAACGACCCTAGCCATTCTTGCTGTTTACCGCTGTCTTCTCCTCGTCAAGCCACTCGTCACTAAACCAACCCGCCGGCAAATGCGTTGTATGATAATTTTCACATGGGTGGGGTCCGTTTTTCTGTCTGTTCCCACGTCAGTTTTTCATGTCGTGCAAGTGTACGAGGAACATCGTCTATGTGAAGAAATACCTCCCCCGGGTTACGAACGTTTTAAGGATCTTTATTCCATTGTTGTGTTCATATTAAATTTCGCCCTGCCGCTAGCAATAATGGCGGTGTCCTATGCTTTGGTCAGCAAAAAGATTCGGGAACATATCGTTGTTATTGCAAGGTTGCGGGATGAGCAGAGCAAAGCTTTTTCTTCAGTTACTAATCAGTCCACTTTGTACCCGGAGGATCCTCAAGGAGCCAGCCTGTTTAGTCAATCTGGGACAGAAAACCGAGAGGAAATCAAGTTGATGAACATCAAAGTTGACACCAAAGATCTAGGCGTAAAGCCAGAAAAGGAAAAGAAAGAATCACAAGAAAACGCTTCATATTTAAGCGAGGTGCCACCCGTGAACAACAAAACGTTTGAACTGGAGAATGATTTATTACGAATGGTATTTGCACTTGTTTTAATATTTGTAATCTGTTACATTCCTTATCAAGTTCAATGGCTTCTGTTTGAGTTCCGGGTAAACGCATTCATAAACTGGCCATATCGTTATATTGTAAGTAAGAGTGTCTTTGCTTTGACATGCTTTCCTAGTGCCATGCATCCGGTTTGTTACGGAATGATGAGTAAGTTTTACCACAAAGCGTTTATCAGAATTATAGCCTGTAGAACCTATAAAAACGGCAACGGTTAATATTATGGGTCAGGCATGGCCTACGGTGCATAAGAACAGGTTTCAATTGAGTGTAAAATGTAATCCGAGATAACTTCGGTTTGCTTCGTTTTGCTCTGTGTTTGGCCCAAAAACCAATCAGATACAAGACTAAAACCAATTGTGACTTGGTCACCCACGTTTTCCCGCGCTTTAGACGTCTTCTTGCGTTTGTTTTTCTTGTTCTTAATTCTCATTGGTTCCTTGTAATTTTTCTATTGTTTTTATTGGCTGTTGTGATTTCTACGGTTTTAGACACTCAATCGAAAAGCGCACTGACATATGGTAAGAAATAAGCTTCGGCTTGCATTTGATTTGATAAAAAACAACAAAACTGACAGAATATTTAAGCATTACCTCTGTCAAGTATTTTGCCTCAAACTTGATAAGCCTGAGCCACCCGCCTTCCTCAAAGCTGATTACCTGGCATCTGAACGGCGCTTTTCGCGCGCACTAACTTACCATTTCGAAAGTGATTAGTGAGCACCATTCACCTCTACGAAGCCCTAGAGAAAAATCGCGTGTGTAGAGACCAATTTCCGGCCATTTTTTCGGCTTTGAATATAGTCTCACAAACTTGGATGAATTAAATGTTAGGAAAGGCTGACATAGCAACTGAGCTCTTCCCCATGGGTAAGATTGCACAAAACAGTCGTTGAAGCTGTGAAGTCAGCCCTTGATATCAAGTCTAACAACTGCTATTTTAATATAAAAGTATTGTTGGCAAAGGCCCTTGTCATGGAAATGTAATTTTTTTTTATATCGCGTCTCAATGACAATAGTTGTTCCTGTTCAAGTAGACGCGTTGATTGACATTTGATTAATAACTGATTTGTGATTAGCGGTTTCAGGCGTAGCCATTTTAGCCAGAAAATTAACTTTTAATCTATAAATGAAACAGTTTTTGACCAGTTTACAAGCGGTTTACAAGCACGTTTTCTTTGCTTATCTGTTAAATTGTTTGCTCACGCGCTGCGCTGGTTATTCTTTGATCGGAAAACAATTCGGCTAAATAACACCAAAGAATTAAGTCATATCGTTTACCAATTGAATTGTAAGTATTTTCATTTTAGTTTTCTTCCATAAAATTTTATGAATCTTTCATAATTAGATTTCTTACGTATCTAATAATTATTTTTCATTAGATCGAATCAAGACTTTATACGATTTCTAGTCCAGCCAATTGTTGAGGGCGAACCATTTTCCTTGTAGCACCCTTTAAGTTTCTTTGTACCTTACCGCTTGAAAATCATGTCCACACTTTGAGCAGATTATGGTGGAAGAAAAAAAACTATGCGTAGTAAACCCTCTAGTTAAACGTCTAGCTGTTAACCCTCCCTACGAGCTACAGAAAATTCAAGATGAATCAGAGGAATTTTCAATTGAATGTCGATAGTAATCCGACGTTGTATTGGTCTTACTTTACTTAGCTCCATGACTGATCCAGAAAACCCGTGCCGCCTTCTCAACCAATTAGATACAAAACCATAAATAATCGCAACTTGGTCAACGGTGCTTTCCCGCGCTTTAGACAGCTTGTTTGTCTTAACTTTGAGTTCTTACAGGCTCTCGAGGGTACTTTGGTTCATTTTGATTGGCTGTTTTGATTTCTTTGTCTTTGGTTTAGTGACGCTCAATCGAAAAGCGCTCTATCCAGGAAGATTTGGTATTCTAGTAAGGGTTTCTACTCTCCAGCTAATAGATTTGTCAAATCTCATAACCTAATTTTAAACAATGAACTAAAACCATAAGGACAACTTGTATGTGAAAAGGCTAGGAAAGGTTATTGTTCACATGCTGCAGAAGCAAGTCTGTTGAATTGTATCTGCACTGTTTAAACGGAGCAGACTTGCTTCAGAGAAAAAACTTTTAACTCAGAGAAAATTGTAATAACTAACGAAAAACCAAAGTTAAAAATTCTTTCCTCATCGTTAATTAGAAAACATTTGCAAATTATGTGACAGTCGGCCGTTGGTTACGCCAAATAAGTAGTTAACATAGTGGTCGCTGATGGGTTGGGACAGCAGCTAACTCTCAACTGCTGATAATAGTAATAATCTTAACAGCTATGACAATGAAAATAAAATCGATAATTATATAAAACCTTTACCCTCTCAGAGGGTTTTTCAGGTATTCATCGTAATGTTAACAGTCGCTTAATGCTGGAAAAATAAATAAGGCTAAATGATAAAAACCTTCATATAATTTATCATATTAAATACATCCAAGAAAATTCATATCTAGAGAAAGCCTTTACTCGATCTTGTTACGAGACTGAGACAAAGAAAAACTCTGAGCCTCCACAAGAAGTCGAAGCTATAATGCTCTTCCACTGGGCCACAGAGAGTCTAGAGTGATTTACGCCATCACTTGCGTACTGAGAGAGAAAGACAAAAGTAATCCCTTCTTTTATCTTAAAGTTCGGATATAACACGCTCTGTCATTGGTTTAAAGAGCGTGTTCTATCAGAGTACAGAACACGGAGCTGAGCAAAAGCTGTCACGCCATCTGCCAAAATGTACTATGTGTGACCTTTTCCGAGACTTCTCCCTAACTTTTTTTCGTTAATTGAAAGTGAAATTTCGTAACAAGCGAGCCGGCAAGTAGCAAATAATAATATAATAATAATAATTTATTTCTTATAGAGCGCTATTTACAATGACAGATCAATAGCGCTTTACAATTAGTGTCTCTAAATATTAAAATCTCAACTAATTCAAAAAGTAATTACATATTACAGTTAACTTGGCTATATACAATTCATAACTTAACCACTATTGAAAGAATTGCCTGAAAAGAAAAGTCTTAATTGAATTCTTAAAAATTTCTACAGATCCAATATTGCGTAATTGCAATGGTAGCTCATTCCATAGATGCGGTGCAGCCGCCTGAAATGCACGTTCACCCAGGGTTACCATATTAGCAACATATAGCAACAGAAGAACCAAGAACGGAATGGTCTCTCAGAGTTAATAGGCTTTTTAAGCTTAGTTAGATTGTAAGCTTACGTAAGGTAATAAAAATCAAACACAGCTAACACTCTATAGTATATATAGTTTCGTGTTAAAAAACAAAACAGATCAAGACAGGAATGATGAAAATTACAACCAAACTGGCATAGCTGTTAAAATTCATACAAATCGTGACAATGACAGAACGATTACGATCATGCTGAGGTTCACCGCGGCTAGCTCATCATGGGGATCTCCGGTTGTCGCATTGAAGCAAGCCTCACAAGTTGCATCGGCCGCCTTTCGAGTGAACAACTGAGAACTTGCTCTAATAACTTTTTCGATGCGTTGAGTGGAAGACCACATCAGTCATAGAAACCGAGTTTTACGGTACTGTCATCCCGTGCAATCTTCACGTTCCTGGAAATTGGGCTGTCGTTCATTCATTAAGTGTGGGGAAACACACAACTACGTCTCGTGTTTCTTCCCACACTTCTTTCGTGCTCCAGCCGCTTCCTGTGTGTTTTACATCAGGAAAGATCACAGACAAAGCTTCTCTATTACTTAAAAAGGAAATTAACGATGTACGTTGACAACGCGAAGAAAGTTTACGTTACACAGAATGAACGCTCATTTGCAGAAAGTTGAGTTTATATACATAAATTAACGCGAAATTTTCAAAAACGATGTGCGCCTTTCTTTCGAATTTGCGAATTTGTTGCCATACAAATGTCTCGACATACACATCTAAAAGAAAAAAACGCAACTTTTCCAACCAACTATGTAATTGATAGCTCCTTGTTATCATGTTAATGCGCTATAAATGGATATAACACTCCCCTGGATTCTGCATTTTCTCGACTTTGAGCAAATATAGTTTCGCTATCTAAATAAAGGTGCTGTAAGAGGTGATGTTAGTTGGTGTCAGATTTAAATTTATGTCAACGTAAATTAAAATGCATTGTCGGAATAAGTGGGTTTTTTGAAATCGCTTTAATAAAGTGCATCGCTAGTATTCTATAATAAGGTAATTTCTGAAAATAAAACGATGTAACATGCACCAGTCGAGTTTATGTCGCGTATGTCTACCTTATATACAATTTGTACAGATGAAAATATATACGTTCGAAATAGAGGGCGCGGCATGGCAGTCGTTATGCTCATGCATATATGGGCTGTCATAACCCACCTATTAAAAAAAAAAGAAAAAAAGCGAAAAGCCAGCTAAAGAGTTTTGTCATCTTTATTACTCAACAGGGAGAAAAACGAACTCATTTGGTAGAGTCCAGTGGTTGTGACTATAAAAAGCTGGTTTCAAATTCTGCTCCGAAAAGTACAAAAAAGTCACAAAAATTTACTGTCAAAAGTTTCGTGATGAAAATTAATGGGAAGGTTAAAATGAATAAATTGCTGGTATGTTGCAGATAGTGTCCTTGGCTGAGAGATTATCCTCAAAATTTCACATCTGCCTCCGAAACTTTTTGCTTCTCCGCCAAATACTCATTTTGAAAACAATCTCTCAGCCGCAGACGTTATTAGCCGAGATATCAGCTGCCTAAAGGTAAATCCCATTAACTCGTTTTAAGGGAAGTTATCAGATAACACTCGAATGATTTTTTTTTCACAAATTCAGGATTTTTTTTTGGATATGGACGCGCTGTTAAGTAAGTCTAGCAGGTACGAAATTTTTAAAAATCACACGGGGCCATTTGCGAGATAAACGGAGCTAACATTCAATTAGCGTCTGGTAACATTATGATGAATAGTATCAGGAGAGTATTACAATACAATACAATATTTATTTTGCCATATACGACATTTACAGATGGAAAAAAAAAATGAAGAAAATTGATGACAGAGTATTCTTTTGATAGTGCCTTGAATTCGCTCATTCTTCATCGATACGAGGACCTGTTCTCAAATTCAGCACAATAGCTGCGAACAAATTAAAAATTTTTGTCATAAAAAAAATATGGTTTATTCTATTTTTTCGAATAAGGCGTTTCCATAAACAGTACCTTGTCGCAGCTGATATTTCAACAACGAACTTAGCGGCACCATAACTTTGAAACGGCGAGATTATAGAATTGGTTGAAATTCTCTCAACCGCGAGTGCTTACTCTACAGAGTCAAGATCTTGAACTTTGATCAAGGAAAAAGTATATTGAAGATTTTCCGCTACCTTTTCTGAAAACACTGGCAAATTAATGGTGTTTTCGACGCCACGCCCGCTTTTTCTCACTTCAATCATTTGTATAACACGTGTGAAAATCTGAATATAAGAGAGTCTCAATGGGGTGTTGGCTTTTACAGCTAATGGTTAAAATTTTGGCCATTTTGCAGCCCAAGGTTACATTTTTTTCTGTTTGTGTGAAAAGAAATATCTTTACAGTTAACATTTTTTACGACTAACGGTTAAAATTTGCCGTTTTACGGCTAACGGTGAACCCCATTAAGACCGACAATGAGAGACTGAAGCAGTCAGATTTTAAGAACACTATTTTCAACAACCTTGAGTGTGCGGCAGACTTCCCTCTGGCAAACTTTCTTGTCTGTATTCACAGACAGTATAAGCCTCCTTATCCACCTTTTATGCTAATATCACTGCTAATGTAAACTAAATTCATTTTTAATAGCCTCGGCTTGCTTTTTTACATGTGATATTAAATACGTTACAATGGACGCCTAAATAAATCACTACTGCTTTAACTTTATGCTTAACGAACCTTTTCTGGTCATTTGTTATTTCGTTACTTCAATTAATCGCGTCCCTCCTGTTGATTTATATTTGCTTTAGAACGTTCACTTGATGCGAAGCCACGTAGCGAGAATACGCGCGATGCGTGCGATACGCGCGGTAAAGGAAAGCAGCTGGCGCAATATTTTCGCCCACGGATGGCTGTCTGAATCAATTGCGTCCGGTCAGTCGAACGGCCAATAATTCCTTCAACTACTAATGGAGGTTACATATGCTTCTCTATTAATAGGAAAAAAAATCGAAGAGGACAATGAGGCTTTGAATAAGTATACCAATTTTAGCTATTTTTTCTTTGGTTCTTTGTCAAGGCGTGGGAAGCCGGAATCGGGAATCTCGCAATGACAGTTAATCATGTTATACACGCCAGGCATTTAGTTAAGATTTCCGGATTTAGGAAATCGAACCCAAGCGAGGTCAGGAGAATTACTAATTACCCTGTCGTGATTTATGCTGTAGTCGTAAGATCTAACGGGAAATAAAGGTTTGAACGCTCAAAAAAAATGCTTTAACAATCGCAAGTCAACTATTTCTTACACATCACTAGTTTTGCAAACGCATTCGCATAAAACTTGCTCATGGTGCCGTACAAAATGGGATGGAACGCGCCTGGAAGACAATGCAATAAAAACATGTATCTCCTGACGATTGGGTAATAAGGCCAAGTTGATAGCCCGCCGTTTACTTGCTCGTAGATAAACGAAACTTGGATCGGAATGTAGCAAATGATAAAAATAATAATGATCACGTATATCATTCTTAGGATATCCAGCTCTAGATCTGTCACGTTTGCATCTGTATGTTGCGAATGTTTCGCTCTCTGCGATGTTTGGCCTCGAGAAGAGCGATCATCCAAGGAACCTTGTCTCCAACAGCATCCATTCGTAATTTTCGCGATTAGATATTTCGCGTTACCCTCGGATCCGTTCTTTTGCGACGATTTATGAACAATTTCCAGTCTTTGAAGATGGATACACACGTGTTCATCTGTTTGTAGCTGTGTTCCGTCCTCTGTGGAATCACTTTTGCGCGCGGCAGTAGCCCTTGCCATGTGTCTCTTCAATCTCAGAGCAACAGCACCGTACGATATGACGATTATGAGATATGGAACAATATAGCTTAGAAAGAGACGAACAATCGAGTAACGGGTGTGCGTTGGTGCATGGATAGTTGTATCGCCTGGGAACAAAGCTACACAAAAGTGACTTGTTCCATACTTAGTAACACTATGCACGACAGCAGATGGTGCGACAACTGTCAAGGCTGCGCTCCACAACAGACTCAACACTACAAATACTTTTCTCTTTTGCAGTGGCCCTAATTGACCGCGATATGTCACAATCACTCGGTACCTTCGTGCTGCGATCAAAGCCAGAGTGTAAGTCACCACTAACGTGGCCGTCATTTGCACAGGAAACACCAGTTTGCATGCAGCTTCACCGAAAGGCCACGCTAGCATCCAATCGTAGACAAAGTAGAATGGAAAACACAGCGAACTGATCATTTCCGCGGCAGCCAGATTGGTGACCAGATAGTAAGAGAAAGGCAATTGATGGTAAGACAACAAGAACATGGCTCTGCAGACCACAGCGTTTCCTACAACACTCGCCAGCGTGATAAGCACGAATACAAAAAGACGGAAAAAAATTGAGAGCGATGGCTCAGCGATGTGAGGATAAACACTCTGGGCGACTGAATCGTTGGCTGTAGAATTGAATGCAGCTGTAGAATTGAATGTGGCTGTAGAGTTCATTTTCAGATGTTCTGTTGACACCTAGTCGTCGCGAAAATAACTCTGAAGAACAATCTAGCGCTGAATATTGATAGCGCTGTTATTGACCTCTCTATTAACCGACCTCTGAAAACTGGATTGTGCTGATCAGCGAACGTCGTTTTAATTAGGTCGATACGCTCTGTCAGGCTGGATAGGATAACACCAGGAGGTTCCGAAATAAGTCACCGCTGGTTCACATTTGTCATTAAGTCCTCGAATTTGGACCCGTCTCTGAAAACACTCCGGTCGTAAAAATTTCCCCGCATCACGGCCCACGCTACCAGGATATTTTATCACGCGTTGACCTGTGTACCTAAGTGATTGTGGCCGACCAACCTTCCGCACGAAATAAGATTCTTTAAATAACTACCATTTAGAAACCTTTCCACCGTTTTTTTTTGTTTCTTTTTTTTGGGGTTTCATATAGGTTAAACCATCTGATGAAAAAGTAATTTCCAATTCAAAGTGATCGAGCTTGACTTTAGGGTGAATATTTTATTTCATTTAACCACAAAACATCATAACTACATATATATATCGAAACTGACATTTGGTTATTAACAATTATTTTTGCTTCTAATTGTGATTTTACACATCTAGATACTCACATTGAAATTGCCTTGAAATGAGCCTAAGTAATACTGGTTATCTTCATACATAAATCGATATCAGTCTCATGCTTTTTTTTGTTTTGGTTCAAAGGAGGATTCGTGACTGGAATCGTGCGGGGTCTCAAAATGCGACACTAGTAAATTTGTGTGATGTAAAATTTTCAGATACAAGTCTTGTGTTAGGCAATCAAAGCGTGCAGGAAGATTTTCAAGCTATTAGATACAGAACACTTTTCATTTGCATAACAACGCAGCTGACGCGACGGAACAACAGCTACTCACCGTAAAAACATCCCTACTTTAAATTTACTTTATAACTCTTTTAGAAATCTTTGAAGAGTATTGAAAGCTAACAACCCTAAAATCGAATGAACAAGTGGCGTTTTCATAAATCCAATCTTTTTTTTTTGTGGAATTTAAAAAAACTCGTTATTACTTCAGCCACTAAATTTTATTTTTATGCAGTCAAGACGAAGAGTTTGGTGCATTATTTCTCAATGTAAGTGAAATGGCCCGTTTCATTTGCTTAAGACAATTACCATGCTTCACAGTTTGTGCGGAAAGTTGACTTATTAAAATATGCCACAATATTCTATGCAAATATGACAATTTATCAATTAGTTGGAGAATTAATATACCATTTTAGGTACTCCCAGCAAGACATTGTCGCTTACCGTATATCATTAGCAAAAGTTATGATTTTTTAAACAAAAGACAAGTCGATGTTGCCCGTTTTGTGTTTTACATCAATTTTTGAGAGAGCATAAACGAGGCACGAAACAAAGATACTAACCATTGTTTTGTACAGAAGTTGCAGTAAATTGCTTACTCGTTTTAGATCTAAAAACAATATGCTCACTGCTGAAAGAGTAATAGAATTCCTCCTGTAGACTTTTGCAATTGTTATTCCATCATGCCAAAGGATAGTTTTAATATTAATGTTAGATTCATATTCTTTTGATTACCTATACAAAATGTAGAGAGAACTAAGACAGAGGACAGAGAACAGGGAACTAAACAACTTTGCTTTCAACACATTTTTGTTCTTTAGGCCACAAATCTAACAGCAGCAGCACCCAAATTCAATGTGCACAGTAGAGACATCCTGGATATATATCTCTCCATATCTAAACCATATATACAATTATCCTTACGAACACCTGTCTCGATGTAAATCAACAGTCAAATACATTTGGTTCTTTCTGTTACAAGTCTATAGGATTTGATCATATTCTCGCGCCAAAGTCGCAACGGCGTAATAAGAATGTCAGTTGTCCTTGAAGTAAAGAAAAAGGCTTACGATTATCGTTGAAATTTGCTTGCTCTATCAATTGTTATGGCTTCGTATTTATATCATCAGTGTCAGGTAATAAGGGGAAAAAAAACATTGTAGGCGAGGTGGCCTCCAGAAAATATCCGACATCTACAAGAACATCTGTCAGCCTCCGCGCAACCACTTAAATCTGAAGGATTATAACCGCAATAGAGCTGACTACAACCCTCGCTGAAACGTAATCAAGTTTCAGATTGCATCTTAGATAACAGAACGATTCCCACAGTCATCTTCGTTCTCTCTGTTTCCCCATTTCCCCAAGGTCAATAAATTGGCACATTTACGTCTCTCTAACGAAACTCAGTCTCAAAGGCATACAGGTCAAAAAAAATATGTGTTACAAGGAAATGTGAGAAAAAATAAGTTTTATAAAATCTCGTCCATTGAAATAAGAAGATCGACTAATCGCTTAAAATCAAAGTCGCAGGGAGGGACCAGGGTTTTCTGAAAGGAACAGATGACGTGCAAATTTGACCGAAGTAAAACAATTACGTAAGTGTGTCAGTTCTGATGATTTACGGTCCAGCCATTTATAACTTCCTAGGAAATAATCTTTGCATGAGTGTTTATTTCACGAAGATGGACGCACTTGCCACGGGAAGCATGCGCGCCGGCCAGGGAACTATGAGGCGTCTCGAAAAAACACTTGATTAAGGAAAATATTTGCTGATTAGAACCTGCATGAACCAGAATACCCAAAATACCCGACATGCAAGGACAAAAGCATGTTGACAGTATGTTCTTTACGTGGGACACCAGCATGCAAAAAGTAAAGTAATTCATTTTTTTAGCGCAAACCGTTTCCATAACCTTATCATAAATACAGCAGCTGAAATCGTGACATCAAATTACGTTGTCGGAAACAAGAGAGCCATATACAAGACCGATTAAACCATAAATGAATGGGTGACGGTCTAGGGAACCCAGCCGGTGAAAAATCAGAGACAAAGACATCGGTGCTGAAGTTTCTTTATGGAACTTCCTAATGAAGAGTATTCTTTTATTTTTGTGGTCTCACACTGAGTGAATGAATAAATTGATGGGCGTTTTTATTGATCGGTTAGTTTGAAATGATTAGGACGCTGTCACACGTTGTGCGAGATAAGGTCCAAAACACTCAACAGTTACCTATAACAAACAAATTTTTTGGGTTCCCTGACAAGTCATCTTCACTAACAAATAATATTTCCCTGATGTGCTAAATATACTCTAAACTACGATAACATAAGAAAATATCAGCAACCTAAAATCGAATATTCTCCGTATCCAGCAGCCTTATTACAAGCCAGATCTCCCCTTACCCTATGTGGCTGGTGCTTTTGCGTGACTTTTTTTCTTTAGGCGGCGGATCAACGAAAAGCTGTCTGCAGGACATATCTCGTTCCCCGAAAGAAAGGGTAAACTGCACGAAAATAAAAAATAGGTATGCCATGCGTAGATGTGTCTACTGTGAGGGCTCGTGGTGTGGGAAGTAATACATGTACTTAACTTCTTCTTAGCTTCGACGACATTGACTTTATAACCTGCAAAGAATATTGGAAGGAACTTTTACGTAATGTACATATCTCAGTAACACACCTACATAGCGGCAGTGAGTGGGATTTTTCGATAATAGAAGGTTGGAAGAACTTCGGTAAAAATAAGAACTTCTTAAACGAAATTTATCGAGGTAGATTACTAATAAATGTTAACTTAAATTGTTCAATAGAGAGACAGCGTCGTGTAAATAAAGCATACTAATTTGCACCATTTTATCAATGCAATTAAAAACCTCATTTTGAACGTGCCGCCGCAAGTAATTTCTGAGTTTTGTACTGACAGCTTGCGCTCAAATTGCTGCAGTTCAGACACGATATCAAAGTTAAATTGACGCGCCGGTACGCCTTGTTTTGTTTTTCGGCCTTGCTTTGTTTCCCGGCCTTGCTTTGTTTTCCAGCTTTGCCTTGTTTTCTGGCCGTATCTTTCTCGAGATTCGATGCGGTATTTATTTCACGGCACGTTCAGGCATTCACAAAGTGTCAATAGTCAACCCATGCACGATGCAATCGCGGTTACTGTAGTCGTGGGTCGTTGCTTAGTCCACAATTGATAATAGATTGAAGATTCGCCATCGAAAATATATCAAACACTCAAACACATCAGACATACTTTTACAGCAAACTCACAAACAACTCCTCCATTCACTTTCACGAAGGGATAACGCTCGAAACGTCAGCTTTAGAAACTCTTTTAGATGGCCAATTATCATTACAAACTCAGCTGAGTTGAGTTTAACAAAGTCTGCAGTACCGTTTTGATCTTTCCAAAATCTGTCCGGTTTTAGTTGTCAAAGCGATCGTAGAAGGCGGCGGAGTAGTTGTTCGGGGCGACCTCTACCAAAACGAGTTTTGCGGCGAATTTTTGACACCTCTTTTCATGAAAAAGTCTATAAAGATCTCACTCTGCGGATGACCAACCAAAACGTTGTCAAAGACAAAACACTTTTTATGACTTCAGAGCAAAATAAGAACAAAAATCTCAACATCATTATTTCTACAACTTAGTGTATTTACTTCTTACCAACTTGTAATAGTTGTTACTGACACTGGCCCCGGCCTTTTTTAAACACTTACATGTTTTAATTAAAATTCTTCTAAGAGTTTATACGAAGCATCGTTGGGCGAAAAACGAAGAAATACGAGTTCAGGTTCAAACCAACCTAAACAGTTTTGTAAATCGTTTTGATTGTTTACGATATGATGTGAAGTACGAGCCGTGGGAACAGTTAAAGTAGTGGGTTGATTGATTTGGTTCAATTGCGGGTGGCTGGGTCTAAATGTTATTAACACTTAACACACTTCTTTAAAATTTAGCGGGCGAAAATAATCGCGTGCTTTTCAAAAGATATTAGTAGGTTTAGAATCTTTCTTTTCTGTCAAATCAACAGAAACCTCTGTATTTCACAGCAGTGAACTGTGCTGCCTAGTAAAAATCTTCACTTAGTCTACCACGTGAAATGTGCCGCGAAATTCCATGTTAACGAATAATATGGTAACATGCACGTTTGCTGAATTCGAGTCTAGAAATCTGACATTGAAAAAAATGCGGAGAAAACAGTGGACTGCACTTCGCTTTCCCTTTGACTTTCTTTTGAGTTTATACGAAGCATCGTTAGCCGGAAAAAAAAAAAAGAAAAAAAACCACACTACTATTAGTCGTTTCGATTGCTTACGACAGTGATGCGAAACACGGGACGTGAAGTTAGAGTCATCGGCTGATTTGACGTCAACACATGCGGCGCGCAAAGGATCTGCAACACTCCCAGTTTGAAGATCTTATAAGGGATGCAACACACACAGACAATTTTTCGCAACTTCAATTTCCTAGGATAATACAAGCTTATTTTCACTGACGTTTTCACAGCCATCGAAACCCAACACATGGAATTCGTAGCTCGTAATTCATTTGTTCCTAAACGCGTATCTTAGAAACCACAATTGCCTCCACAAACATTGGCCGAACACACATACTCACCCTCTACCACTGATGGATAACCAAAATCTCACCTTATTTGCAACAAAGAATTTCTGCCTTCATACTTGTTCCTAGGGAGGTTTCGTGAAGGATGAAGTGTTTTGCCAAAGAACACGACACATTTACCCAGCCAGATGGGGTTTGTTTTTCGAAAATCCCGGTAAGTTAACGAGCCCGAAGCCATATTTTAAAATCAAAATTTTATGAAAAAATAGGCAGGTTTTTGTCGCCCTAACCAGACCATTTTATTCTCTAGCTGGTAGTCTAGTTGCATAATTTTCAATAGGTTTGAAACCCCCATCTTGGATAAAAAAGAACCGAACAGCTTTACGAGCCCGTTTAGTAACTGGGACCTTCGGGAAACGGGCCAATGTGTCTCGAACCCGGATCGACCCGGAGTTTTAGCGTAACAATCAATAGGCCGACACGTTTCCCACAAAAATGTCTGTGAAGCACTGAAGAAAATTGAACTCAATCTCCCTAATAAAGAAACCACTGATAATGAAATGAATGGTGTTTTATTACCCATACATACATACGTAGGTTTGGCATGCTAGGAGTAGATCAAATTCAAACCAAACAAACTCTATAGCGGAAGTCAATTAAAAGTATAAGGGCAATCACTTCACCATTTACTAATTCTACAATTTACTCCTTAATACGGCGACAACTGAATGGCTGCTCAGTTTTCAGTCTTAGATGAATTCACAATTTTAAGTTACATAGTAAGCCCTAAGCCAGACTAGAATATAAAAAAAAAGCCATTGAAATATAAGGCCTAGCTATTCATGTTCGTTACTAATTTTCTTTGAAATTCTCTTGTCACATATAACCCGGCCCCGGGGGCATCTGATACCCTCCGGGATACTGTTGGGGCGGCATGCCTGGTACTACACCAGGAGGCATATTTGGAACCATACTTGGGCCTGCTGTGATCATTAACTGGTCAGCACCTGTAAGGATGGCAGAACACAAATCAATGCAAGTTTTGTGTATATGACCCGACGAGGGCCTGTGTTCTAGTAGGTTCCAGGTGCCACAGGAAACCTCAGTTGTCTTTCGATGCCTTAGATAACTTTGCTTTATGAAATCCTTTTAACCCTTTCACTCCCAAGATCTCATTAGTAATTCTCCTTACTATCTGCTAAATGATTCTCATTATGTTAGTTTAGAGAATTTGGTATCATATCAATTGGTAATCCCATAATTGGTATTTTTCTTTATTCTCATCGCTTGTCTGCGTGATATTGTAGAGATAGTCAGGAAAAATTCTGTTTCGGTCACTCACGGGAGTTGAAGGGTTAAGAGCCAAGTATTCAAGATATCTGGGGCAAAAGCGTCCAGGCACCTAGCGAATCAACTGAGAGCACAGCATTATAATGCCTCAGAAGAAAAAACAAAAAAGACTGGTACCCCACCGAAAACGATTGGCTGATCCTGCTTGCTCTCCTCTTGATCTTTTCGCTCAGCTTCAGAAACGGCTAGCTTGTTCACCTGTCGAGGCAACAAAATGGAAATCAGTTAACAAATTTCCTGACTAATGTTAATTCTTCACAGAAACCAGGAGGCCCTTGGTACTGGAGCTCCTCGCAATAAAGTGACCAGCTCTGATTGGTGCTGCTCTGATGAAGCAGACCAGTCAACTTCAGTTCGTTCAAAACGAGCATCAGATCAGTTTCTCCTTGCCAGTGTCAGTGCTTTGCATAATCATGTATATCATGATACGATACATGGGTTTTCATTAGTTCTTATTTACGATCTATTGGAGCACAGATGCATAGATGACGTCACCATTAACAACATTTTTCTTTTGTCATCATTGAACACAAATAGATTCCATGTTGCCAAGGGTCACCTGGCTGTGCCATGTGCGCCACTTTTTTCTTCCTCAATATTACGAATGATCACAGACCTTAATTGTGAGCAGAGCTTAGTGCTCTGCTTAGCGACAAAACAAAATTATCCGCTTGAGGCTTGAGAAAGGAGTTCATTGCACTAGCCATGACATAATGGCGTGTCTCTCAACTTAGGAATGTAACGACAGTTTTAAAATTTGCCTCACTGGAGCCTACATACCTTGTCTATATATTCCTTAAAAACCTGCACCATATAGGGCATTGCAAAGTCGATAAGATTGTGTCTCCAGGCCAACTCTAGAACAACATCAGGACTGAGGAGATCGTAGCACATGAACAGGCAGGCTGCGAAGCACTCGTTGTTTCCAATTTCCAGGAACCAGTGGATAAGATCTTCTGCTGTGGCGTTGTTTCGGGATTCGGCAGCGTACAACATGGCGTCCTAGCAAACCATAGAGACGACTCAACATTAGCAACATTCCTAACATATGCACGAAATAGGTACAACCCAAACCTGCTTCTGAGGTCGTGTTTCTCGCTAGGAAAACTTGTCAGAAACAAAACTGACAAAATTACCAAAAATTAGATAGACATTTGTAGTAATTGATAATTCAACACACCTTGTAAAGCTTGTCCCTCTTACACAGTTCCACTGACTGTTGCCAGCGGTTGTTGCCCTTGTAAAGATAGGCTGCAATGCGGCGGAACTCGATCAGCTCGTGTTTTTCAAGTCGCTGGGCCAACGCAATGTTATCGAAGTTGTCGAAGGCATCGATTGAAGCGCGAAGGCCGTTGTAGTCTTCTTCTTCAATGAGCAGATCATTCAGAGCCTCGTTTATAGCCTTGTTGTTGTGACTTTGCACCGATCGTAAGTACGGTTTGACGAGTGGCAAATGATTTACCTGGAAATAACAAAACCAGAAATAAAACAAGGGTCAGGGAAAAAATCGCTTAAAAAATTTAAGTTGTTTATTCAAGGTTCCCATTTAACCCGTCTTAAAAAAGCATCCAAATTCGTTCCAGTTGATTAGACATTCATGTTTCACCTTCAAGCAGACACAATGCAAGTTTCTTTACCAAGTTTACTAGCTCATTACATGAACGGACAAAAATTTTGTTTTACGATTACCGGAATCAATTGGTCCAGGTTTTGGCAGAGTAAAATCACCGAGCGTCGGAAAATGACTTGTTTCACGTACCTTCTTGAAGAAATTCACGGCACGGGTGTGGTCCATGCGTGGGGTGAGTACCATTAGGAGATCATTAATCAACATCGGCCTGAAATCCAAGTAGAACTGCAACGACTTGTAGTACAACTCAATGTTAGCCACTTTACAAATGACATCTTTGAAAAGAGCCTCTTTCCAGGCCACTGTTGGGTGAGTCATCATGGTTTGTACTGCATTGTCGTATTCCTCGTATTTCTCGTACAAGAACACAAGCTCTGACCACAGATGAGCTTGCTCAGCTGCGCGGAGAACCTGCCAACAAAATGCAAATGATTGTGTTAAACACTTCGTCCACAGTTATAGAGGGAGGGGGGGGGGGTAGATACCGCAAACATGGCGAGAGGGATACCATGGTAATCGAGCCAAGGCTCACCTCTAGGAAAGTGTAAACAGAACAAGGGCTAAGCTGTGTATGGAATGAATACTTATCCGAAAGAGAAGGTTGGGGGAGGAAGGGAGAATGCCAGGAAAGCAAAGCAAGCAAAGCAAACCAAGCAAACCAAGCAAAAAACAAATGGCAATGACCCTGCAAACCACCCCTAGGTTCCTTCGACACCATATTAGTAAAACAAATGCAATAACCTCGTTTTAACTTTTTTCAAATAAAAGTAGCCTCCTTCAAATTCCACTCCTTTGTTCCCAAGAGAATTTCAACATCTTATCATGCCAAGGGTATAAACAACAAGTTTAACATAAATGCGATGAACGGGCTGAACAAACATATCAGGTTAAGACTACTTGATAAGGAACACGTCTATAAACGACTCTGGGGATTAAAACAATTAATGTAACACAAAGGAAAAAAATAGAAAAAAAAAAGCTCAAAACTGTTCAAAATTACTCGAAAGAAATCAAGAGTCAGTTGTTGTTTATTTCTACTATTCACGGAAACGGATTGTTTCAAAATAAAGCAATCAATGAGGCGTAAATGTGGCGGAAGACCGTAACAGAAGCCATGACACAATGAAGTCCAACGTCTTCAGAAGCTGAGAAGAAGAGAGAGGGATGACTCACTGACAGTAACAAAGATACGAAATCTTGAGCACTCACCTTAGGAATATTAACCCTAGACCAAAAGAGTTCCAGATGTTCCCTCATCTTGGTGGGTTTGTACTTTGAATACAAGATCGCCAACTCTGTAAACATGCCCATATGTGCTCGCTCCAGGCCCAACGCGGCCTCCATCAGGGATATGAGCTCTTCAAAGTAGCCTTGATTCTGGTAGAAATTGATTAATTCTTCTAATTCATCTGCATGCACCACGATGTGAAGTCCACACATTTGGGCCAAACGGAATTCTTCTCCCTCAACACATGCGAAACAAACCTGCAGATAAAGGATGACATTAACATTCACAATGATGGATCAAAACAACGTTGCGAAACCAACTAAAAGTTAGAATTTCTGAAAACCAAAAAATTCCTCCTGGCAAAGAACTGAATTTCAGCAGTGAATGCTAAGAATTCAAAGTCTATGCAACTAAAATTACTGGAGAAATGGGAAGATAACGAACTGAAATTGATCCCACTATGATTGGTTGAGAGGGTGGTGGCGAGTTTTCTAACCAATCAGAGGGAAGAAAGGATAAACCACTGCAATACTGGATAGTTTTAGACACTCAAGAACAAACTCCCCATATTAGACGATTACTACTAAATTGAAGTCTTGAAAGAAACTATAAAACGTTTTACCCACCTCTTTCCATGTCTTTGTGCTGTTTGCCTTCCTGGCGCCGTCGACAGCTGCCTGGTATTCTCCTAAGTGAACTAAAGTGGAAGCTAATTTGGCAAAATTCGACACGTTGTTATACAGAAGTTTGGCAGCGTCGAACATTTTCTCGTCAAAGCATCGGTCGCCGACCTGCAAGAATAGAGGGGAACTATTACCATCAAATCATACCGCCAAATTAGAGACCAAGTAACAATAGCAAAACACAAAGAGTAATGATTCCTACTACACGTACCTGCTGAATTTGTGCGTGGTTTGGTCCGGATATAAATTCTTCGAGCTCCGCGAGGCGATTAGTTTTAGCGAAGGCAAAAATCAGTTCTGTTTCTACAAATGAATCTCTGGACTTCTTCTGAGCCATCTGCAGGAAGCGCACGACATCTTCGAAGTTTCCTGAGAATACAAGAAAACGAACAGACAGTTGATTTAGTTCACCTGGTATGCTAGAAGAACTAGTCAGTCACTGACCAAGGTTTCAAAGCCGATCACGATCCTTTCTACCTCCATAAAAAGGTTCTATACGTACAGCTAATAAGCAATGAAATTAAAATCCAATTAAATTGTCTGAAGCCATGGAAAAACAGGAGTGACCAGGTCACGCATGGTTTAGCTTGGTGCCTGATACGTCGAAAGGGCAGCGCAAGTTCTTCCAAACCAATCCCAGTCCGAAGTGAAGCAAACATATCAACAAATACATTCCATGTTGCCCTGCCTCTGTTTAAAAATTGATCACAGATGGCGACAAAATGGGGTAAGAACAGCGTGTAGAATCGAGCTTGTCATATAACATATAATATCTTTGTTGTAAGCTACTTCAACAACCTAAAACGATGCCTTACTGGTCGGGGTATTGAGAGACTAGAAAATGTTATGGGCTAAGTTTTCAAGGCAAACGCTATGTGATAAGTCAGTGATTACTCTCACCACTGAGAGTAAAATTAGGCAGTACCTTCTCTGTTGGCGGCCTCGACGACTTCAGTATAAGCAGATGGATCATCGGCTTTAATAAATGAATCAATAGCTTCTTTGACCATGTTCTTCTGCAGCTGAGCTTTGGCTAAAAGACTCCATACTGCGGCCTCATTGCATCGTTCCGCAAACTCGTACGCACGGTCCAAATTTTGCACATTTTCTATCAGAACCTATAGAACAGCAGAATAACAAAAAGTCCATTACAATTATCAATGTACTCCTCAGGTTTGAAAATCATTAATGAATTGCATCACTTGAGTTTGATGATGACTTCCGCTCAGGTGCTCGAAAAGTTAGTCCCCACTACCGGAAACAGTCCTTCTCAGAGCGAAACTCACCCGGATAATCAGACTACACTATCACACGTTACCCCGGGGTTTATTCAATTTACTGTATAGAGGCAATTGTAAACCAGGTAGGAAAGAGAATGGCAAAGGATGGAGTAGATTTACATGGATTGTAAATGACTACAAAATATTAGTTTGGTGAAATAGGAAAAAAAAAAAAAAACGACATTATAAACCAGGAATGAACAATAATGGCCGAGGATGGAATAGATTAGCACGGATTGAAAACACGCACTCGAAACTAAATTTTATAAGCATACGCCGTGACGCAAGCCCTTGGAGTTGCTAAGGAAAAATAACAGAAAGTAATGAGCGACCGTTATACCTGGATAGCAGAGGTGTTGACATCAAACTTCTTAAAAATGGCAAAGGCTTCCTCATACAGTTCACTACCAATGGCGATACTGGCGATATCGGGCGCATCGTAATTGTCGAGGCGAGTGATGTATTCCATGACACGCGTGCGATCGGCCTTGATCGCTGTCAAAATCAGCAGGTTCTGTAGATTTCTGCAACATTAGACGAAGAGAAACATCCTTAATACATTGTCAGCCATCGCATCCTATCCACCTAGACCAATCATCGACTGTGCTTCAAAATCACCTTAAGGAAAGGGTCGAGGCTATACGAAACCAATGAATCAAAATGAAATTGTACTCAGCGCATTTAGATCGAGTGTACGAATGTAGCTGTTCTGTAAATGAACGTTATCAAAGCAGCCAATCAGAACAAAGAATATATATCAAGGAGCCAATGAGAACTGAGGATAGAGCAAGGGTACAAGGCCCTCACAAGGGATAGCTTTAGTAACCTTGAGCGATTTACTCAAATTTTGGTAAACAATAGATCAGAAGAGTAGCGATTTCTAGGCCAAACATGCAGTTAGTGAACGAAACCCTATGCAATCTGGGGACACTTCCGGAATTTCGTTGATTATTGCTAGCTTGTAACACGACTAAAAAAAAAATATATGATTTTTCGGTTTCTCGACCTTCCGATGTTATTCAGAAGTCCACCTGTTTTTTTTTTTTTTCAAAATTACGACATATAGTGACTTGTTTCTCTTTAACAGCACATCGGATCAGCTGTTCATTGTTAACACAAAATACTTCTAATTCAGACCCTTCTTCACAATGGAAACCAAACTTAACTTCAAGATGAGGAAAGCGATAAAAACAGTCCTCGTAAAAAGAAACTACATGGTTCAACGCAGTGTAACAAACATTTCAAAATAATGCAACTCATTATTTGTGATATATTGATGAAAGGAAAGACGAGTTACGAAACTGCGGTGCTGCGTTGGTGCTGGTATAACGAGATAATAAAGTTTGGTCGACAGAGTTGCTAAAGTTAATTAGTCACAGAAAAGAGTTTAAAAGCTGACGTTTCGAGCGTGAGCCATTCATCAGAGCGAATGACGAAGGGCTGCCGCTCCTAACTTTAGCTTTTAAGGTGGCTTATCTACATCATGAATATCAACTAAGTCGATAAAACCGAATTACAGTGGAAATGTAGGTTTAACTTATCCATGTTTTGAGACGGTTGTATGACTTGGGGGGCAATAAACGTATCTTTTTCCATCACAGTAAACAATGGACGCTTATTTGGCTCCTGATATAAATTTCCTGTTTTGATTAGTAACTTGGGGTTTTAAGTTCCAGCTGCCACTACGGGAACTGTTTATCAGAATGTATCTTTAGCACTCTGTTTGTATAACCCTTACACTTCCAAGATCTCATTCGTAAATTCTCCTAAAAATCTGCCATACAATTCTTATGATGTCCGTTCTGAGAATCAACTAATAATCCACTGATTGATGTTTGTCTTCAATCTCATCACTTATCTGCTTTATAATGTACTGATATTGTAAGGAATGTCTTGGTCACTCACCTATGGTCACTAAAGACGGAGTTATCCAACACAATCTTTTCTAACAGCTCGATAAGTTCATTGGGTAAATCTGCAGTCATGAATGCTTTCACCGTGCATGACACATCCTCGGGATCTTGAGTCTCGGACAGAGCTGTCTGCACAACCTTTATCAACATAATCAACAGGGAAAATGATCAAAATTTAGATTATAAACTCGAGATTTCTATCCTGCAGTCTCAGATTATTTGTGACATTCAATTTAAAATAGCTCGAAATTCTGTAACTGGCTCTCTGCTTTGGTGCAATAAAGCGTTTGCAACTTGAAACCATCACCAAACCATAGGAAAACACACATTATCATTCTACTGACCTGATCAATAAGCTGTCTACGGAACTGGTTTGATTCTTGAAGTACTTCGGCCCAGAGTTCTGGGTCCCTTCGTCGCACAAGGTATCTTGCCAGACTCTTGAATAGCGAGTTCTCGTTACAAACCTTGACAAAATGCGAATTGTACTGTTAGATCAACTGATTTAAAAAAGACATTGTGGCTCAAAAGTGCCTACTTTAACCACTTTCATGGACAAGCTGCCGAACTGTCAGTGTGTAAATAAGTGACAAGCAATGTGGTATAATTTATGTTATGGGCTTGTTTCATTAGGGTATAGAGGATGGCATAAATTTGACAAGTAGATCACAGATGACATTCATGAAAAATAATAATTTTTGAACAACAAAAAATTGGCATAGGAGGCGCTGCCGAGTGTGTCACTGATGTTCCTAACACATTTTGACATATTCTGATGTACTACTGAATAGACCCACGGCAACATGATATCTATCACTTTTACATCAGCTGTTAAGAATGGTGTCTTCTATGCATCAGTCATCCAAAAGATCAAAGGTAAGAACCATTCAAATTAAAGAAAATGCAATGATCTACCTCCAAAATCGTTTATTTGGACGTCAAACCGACCTTTCGCCATAATTTCCTTCTAGCAACTTGCAATGTTTGCCCCGTGGCGATCCCAGAAATCTTTGCGCAAACACAAGGATCCCATCACTGGCAACTCATTCATTGTGTGTACAGCTAAACTTATTATATACTACTTACTTAACTTAGTCTAACGGCAAAATGTCATGAACTGTGCACTTTTTAACTCATCAGGAAAGGAGGACGAAAAGACTCAGGAACTGCCATTGCTCATATCAATGAAAATAAAATGTTTGTACCTTAATTAGCTCAGCATCACACTGTCCTCGTTCATAAGCTATGCAAGCCAAGTGTGGGTCCCTTTTTTCGCAGTATTTCCCAACTACTTTGCTGTCATAGTAAGGGTTCTCTCTGAAAAATCAACATCACTACTAGTAAGAATTTGACCACACTATGTAAGGTCCTAAGGAGCTAACTTGCACAATGAAGTTGTAACAGAAACAAAGCTACAAAATGTCACATATCAGTATTAGAGCTTTACTTTGCTCTGTGATTGGTCCAGAAAACTCATGCCACTCTCTCAACCAATCACATGCAAAACGATTTGATTGCCTGCAATTACTTGCTCTTACTTTGAGTTCTTATTGGCTCTTCAGGGTAGACTGGTCGCTGGAATGACTTTGGTTTTGATTTCACAACACTCACTCGAAATGAGTTCTACTTGGCTCAATACTAATCTCACATCCTTTCCTCCACCTAGGAAGTTCTGTATCATTATTTAAGTGGATACCATAATGATTTTTAACCGCTATTTTACAAACCTAAGAAATCTTTCAGGATTGTTGTTAGCATCAATATAAATCTTGGCCAGCGCATTATGAGTGGCTGGTTCTTCAGTTCCATCATGGATCTTTGCTTCCAGCCAAGGTAACAGAAGCTTAAGGCGATTTCTTTTCTCCACCTCTTCAACGAGCTCATCAGTTGAGAATTGACCACGTACAGCCATCATGAGACTTTTAATGATGTCCTCTGAGCAGTCCACATCCAACAAACCTCCTACTACCACAGGCAGACGCGAGGGATTCACCTAACAAAAAAATGGAATTAAGCTTTTATACTGTAACATCAGTATGCATATTCCCCATACAGTTATCTACACATTTCCTGAGGTGCAGACAAGGAGAATTTGTTCAATAATCAAGGGCTTCTTAAGTTGGCGACCATTTCCTTTATTCTTGTGATCCTAAAGTTTGATTCAGTAGAGATATTGTACAGAGAAATAAGATGCTTGTTACTCTCGAGGATCAAAAGGTTAAATCTTATTTCCTTCAGACTTTTTAAGGTCCAACCAAATCACAACATCTCCAGCCTGATCAACAGCACTCCTCTTTATGAGTAAAAAATTGCTCAGAAGTTTATAGTACTCTCAATAACAATGGTCAGTGAGTTGGGGAAATTAATCAAAATTTGGATTTTAGGTGAATGGAAGACATCAAAAGGAGTTAAGCTTTGTAGTGCCTGTAAATTACCATGTAATTAAGTTGCCAGTTTCAACAAAATACACACAAAGAAAGAATGTGTATGTTGTGGTTCCAGTTTATCATTACACACAACCATACCCAAAGAAAAGAACATTTAACCAAAGACAAAATTTAATCAAAGCACACACACTGATCATTTCTTGCAAAGTGTGCAAAAGGAACCTGCTTGTAACGTTGAAAAATACTAAATACGTACCTTCTGCACATAGATCTCAATGTATTTCTGAAGGTTGTTACGGTATAAGTACAAAACCAAGTCATGGACAAAGTCAAATCTATCGCAGACTATGATCAGAGGCAACTGGTCAGTCAGCTTGGCTTCCTAAAAAGGAAAATAAAACACCATTGATGCAAATTGACTCAGCAGTGCAATATAAGAGAATTACTTGCTGCTGGTTCATGAACAATTTGAAATAAAGCTACCAGAAAACACCATTGATGCAAATTGACTCAACAGTGCAATATAAGAGAATTACCTGCTGCTGGTTCAGGAACAATTTGAAATAAAGCTACCAGAAAACACCATTGATGCAAGTTGACTCAACAGTGCAATATAAGAGAATTACATGCTGCTGGTCCACGAACAATTTTAAATAAAGCTACCATTTGCTGTGTGACCAAATGGACACTGACAGAAATTGATGACATTCTTTGATAAAGATATTGTTGTGTGCATGAAGAGAACTAACTAAATAGCTTGCTGTGTGACCAATTAAAAACATGGCAAACTATTTTAAGACTAACGGCATGTAATATTACCTTGAGAAAGTTTTTAACTCTTTCTGGATCATAACAGTTGCTTTCTCTACAAATACGTTCAACTTCTTTAACCTGACCGGTCTTGCAAGCAGCCTGCCACAAAAAAGACAAGATTTGATGATAAGTTAACTGTTAGGCATTTGAAAATTTAACCTGGACCAAAAATTGGGAATAGAATGAACTGCTGTTGGCTGTTTTAGTTTCACTTCACCTGGATGTACTTAAAATGGACATCTGCTTCCTGACTGAAGTTTACAATAGATCCCAAGAAGTAGAACAGACCTGTGAGGTGTAAAAAACACTTTATGTTAGAGATGAACTCTGTATCATGCAAATTCCTATGCATTCACTTTGAGCCAACAAGGGTAAAAACAGATTAACCCAAAACAATAAGCCCACCAAGGTCTAAACCCACAGGCAAGTTGTGTCTCAGTCAGTCAGCATCAAATTGACAAATTGGATGGGATGGAGTTCAGATTCTCAATCCTGTCCAATGGCAGATCCAGCAGGAGTCTAGGTATCATGGAGAACTGATTTTTAGATCTTAGGGGTGAAGGATTAAAATCTTTCTTCATTGTCATGGATAAATTTCTGCTAAAAGATACAGCCAAAACGCTATGTACCTTCAAAACTCTTGAAGGATTCAAACAGCTCAATTAGAGCAGTGGTGCTGAGTTGTTCATGGTACTTGGTTGCCACTTGAACACAGATCTGTAAGTTTTGTCGAATGTTATGTGTGAGCATGGCACGTAGGCATTCCAAGGAATCTTCCACAGACAAGGAACCAAAGTAGTTGACTAGCCACTGCAAGTGAAAAAAAGATTTCCATTACAAAAATTTAAAAGAAAAGGTGAACTAGCCTGAAGACTGCTGTCGCAACTTATATTGTGGGTAAGTTTATAAAGAAACTGTGGTGCTGCCTTGGTGGGAGAGTATAACAGGGTGATTTAGTACTATTAAGTTGATAATGTAAATTGGCCACCATAATGAGTTTCAAACCTGAAATTTCGAGTGTTAGCCTTTTGTCAGAGCAAAATAATAACCTATTACTGGTTTGGGTAACAGGAACAGTGTTATTACCACTGGGTACCACTGTGTTAACCTAAAACTTAAAAGACACTTTGAAATCGAGAGTTAAGTTTATTGTCTGAGAACTCAACACAATGACCCAGTTTTGGCTCACACCCAGACTGTTCTATCTCGTGCAAATTAGGCATGCTGAGGGATTTTAGTGAACTTGTGTCATGTGCTGGCAGTGCATACACATTGTTGTTTCACCTTGAAAATGCACTTAAATAAATCATGGTTGTGCTGCTGGAGACAGTCTGATTTTCAAGAACCTTAAGTTCCACAAAGGGAAGAGACTACTGGACTACAACACAAACTTTTCCTTTTTAAGTCCGGTGCACTAACCACTGTGCCAGTTCATCTCTCAGAAACAATCAGGGAAGACAAAAGATAAAAATGCAGAAACATTAAGAAACTTATCCATAGAATAAAGGATAATGTATTACCTCTGGATTTAGTAGGTGAGTGTGCACAATGGCCCTCTTTATGTCAAATATATCAGTATAGTGTTCCAAGGCCTGTGTAACAGATACAAATATAAAATAATATAAAAAATGTGCTCAAACTTGTGCACAAATGAACAGTTACTGGGATCAACATTTCCACCAGTATAGCCATTTAATGAAATTTTGCCCATACTTTGGATGTCATGTTCAAAGTATTTTATTAGAAAAACAATCTCTTCCTCTTTCTTGTAAGGTGTGTGGAGTAAAGCCCTTAATGACTTCTTATGCAACATCTACTTTTCCCTTTGTTTCAAAAGGTAATGTGAAAAAATAAGGAAGGAGAGTATAGCAGTCTATCTGAAGTCACATAGGGTTTTTTCCCTTTTCATTCCTTCCACTGAACATCATTGTGATAGTAATGCCTATCCTAACAACTGCATACATCTCATAGGTTGATCACAAATCTTAAGACGATGCCTTGGCTTGTTTGCAAGTAAATAACCCTTACCCTCTGCAAAAGTCCAGCATTTTCACACAGCTGGGCGATATGAGCCCTATCATAATGAGTGAACATTTGATTGCCAAGAATTGCATCTGCAACCTAAGGAAAGCATTTTAACCACACTCAGTAACCTGTAAATTAGACAACAGTTTCTAACAAGGGATGCAGTTTTACTCACAGGTTAACCTTTTAGCTCCCAGGAAGTGATTAACATGTTACATCTCCATTTAACTCCATACATTATGCAGCAAAAAAGGTAATAAGAACACTCAGCCTTATAAGAGAAAGTTGTTACTTGTATATAAAAATATGTCCATAATTAATTTGCAAAGAAATGTGAAATAGCTAGAGGAGAGAATTTTCAATCAGATCTTAGGAGTTTTAGGGTTAACTGCAATTAGAATTCTTTTGAAAAGGTTGCTTGGAAAATTCAGGCTTCATTAAGGAGTGAACCACCTGCCTTCCAAATAATAGTTGGTTGCTTCTACCAACTTCTGACCAGACAACTTAAAAAAAATAAATAAATAAAAAAAAAAAAAGAAAAAAAGAAGGAAAGAAAGAACTGGGCACATAGTACATGTATTTGCCATGACACAACACTGACCTGGGGAGCTGTAAGGAGGTTCATTTCAAGCAGCCTGGTCTGCAGATGATCTTCGGTTGGTCTGTTGTTCTTAAGGGCATCCAGAAGGAAAGAAGTACATGCCTGAACTTGGTTTGTTTCCATAAATACATCTACAATCTGAAAATTGCAAAAGAACAGTTTGAAAAGAGAATGTCAGGAGTGATAACAGAGGAATGAATATGGAGCATGTTGTCCAGATGTTCTCCCAAACCAGTCCCAAACCTGATTTGTTATGAAAAATTTGGGGAAAATAGTGAGGCTTATCAACAAGTGCTTCTGGTACCTCTCCCTTTTCAAAGTTCTTGGTGCTTTTCATACATGTAAATTGTTTATTACTGACCTGACTGAGATCTGCGAGTGCTTCTCCTTCTTCCTGGACAAGCATTGAAGCAAACTGACTGCCTGTTTCTGGATTGACTCTCATCACATTCCGAAGAAGGAAGATGTAATCTGGAGTATAGCCAACCTTCTTGGCATATAAAACTATCTTTTGGAACTGACCAGTTTCAGCGAAGCATTGGATCACCTGGAAAAATCATTAGGTTTAAAAACCCTATATGGTAAGAGAGATGGTATGCTGACTTAACCCTTTAACTCCCACGAGTAACCAAAACAGAATCTCTCCTTACAATATCAATACAATACCAATGATACTCTTAGTACGGAAACAGAGAGCAAGCGTACCATTTGTGTGACAAAAGCAATGTCTAGTAAACCAGTTTAGCCCAGTCAAGCAAGCACAAAGTGATAAAGAAAGGAATTATGGTCAAGTGGCCAACAGTTCAACTCCCCAACACCAACTTGCCGACGTATAAAATTGAGTAGACACGTCGGTGAGTTAGTCTTCAATCCAGTACAACTTATTAGAAGTTAAACAGATAGAAAAGAAAAAGATCTTTAGTAAAAAACAAATATTTCCTTCCCACAAAGTTTTTAAGGATCTCATGGCAAATGAAGCAAGGTAAACATCGCCAATGACTATAAAAGCTTCAGATGTGAATGAATTATTGTTGTGTGACAACAACACTGAGAATACTCAATACATCAATTGGTCAGATTTTTTTAAGAAAACTCGGTTTTCTAGACAAGATCTTTAGTAAAAAACAACTCTTCTTACTTGCAACAAAGTTTATGAGGATCTCAAGGCTAATAAAGCAAGGTAAACATTGCCAATAACCGAAAAAGCTCTAGAGGTGAACAAGTTATTGTGTGACAACCACACCCAGAGACTCATCATGTCATTCGGTCAGATTTTTATAAAAAAAAAAAACCTGGCTTTCCAGAAAAAATCTTTGGTAAAAGAACAATTATTTTTATTTCCAGCAAAGTTTGTAAGGATCTCAAGACAAATAAAGCAAGGTAAACATCGCCAGTGACCAAAATGCTTTCAACACGAACAAGTTATTGTGTGACAACAACACTGTAAAGACTCATCATGTCAATTGGTCAGATTCTTTAAAGAAAACCTGGCTTTCTAGACAAAATCTTTGGTCAAAAAAACAACTATTTTTATTTCCAACAAAGTTTATAAGGATCTCAAGGCACATAAAGTGAGGTAACCATTGTGAATGACCAAAAAAGCTCTAGACACAAACGAGTTAAAAATCTTGTTCGCGTCTGAAACTTTTATAGTCATTGGTGATGTTTACCTTGCTTTATTCACCATGATATCCTTATGAACTTTAATGGAAGAAAAAAAATTGTTTTTTGTTAAAGATCTTTTACTTTCCTATATGTTTAACTTCTAATAAGTTGTACTGGATTGAAAACCAACTCGTCTACGTCTCTACTCGATTTAATACATCAGCGAGTTGCAGAATAACAGGGAGCAAAGTCAATAATGAAGTTGACTAATATGCTGTGTGAGTGTCAAGAATAAGTTGTTATGATACTTTTGTTAATTATCTGCTAAGAAAATTACCTTGCTGGGTACATTTGCCCTGAGATACACTGACAAGGCCAAAGTGGGATCAACCTGCTTCACCAGATCACCAAGCTCTTCACTGCATTCCAGCTGTCAAGGGAAACAACCACAAATATTACCAACTGATTATGTTACGAGTGCCCATCTACATTAAAGGATTGAGAATGAGGTATCCAATAAGCAGAAGACTATCAGCCTCTCAGTTTAGAAAAAATTTGTTTCATTGAGTATTGCATCATCAATCGAAAGATGGTGTTAAAGTAATCATCATAGAGGCCAATAAGTTTTCACTTAGGAAATAACTGCAAGTGAGTCCTACACAACAGGTCAATTGATTGACACTGTGAACCTGACATGAAACATTGAATCTAGGATTTGAATGACATGGACTTGGTTAAAAAATAAACAAACACTCACGAATGTGATAACATTCACAAGTCACAGTTTCAATGCCAATGGCCAGTAGGCCACTTCCACAGAGTCTTAGTTTTAAAATGAGGGTAAGTTAGTATTGTGCAAATAAAACTTATTTTTACAAGAGAGCCTTTGAACCAGACCTTTGTTTGGTAAGTGAGAGCTTTCCTGACCTCACAAAAAGTTTGCTCTTTACCTTTTCTTCCTTCAGCCACTTCTCTAGAAGCTGCTTCCTGCCTTGCTGTAATACAGGCTTGCACAGCTCCAGTGACTCAAACTTGTTGAGTTTGCCTTGGTCTAACAAAATGCCAAAATACTGCAGCAAAGGTGATGTTTGACCTTGTTGAGATGGGACTTGCTGAAACCTCTGAATTGTCTGTGGTGTTCTCAGCACACCCTAATTAAAGATAAAAGTTTTGAGGAAGGTATTTGAGTTAAGGTAAAGATAACTTTGTAATTTTCTCTACGTACAGTGTAATGCAATTTCCCTTCAGAAATGTTATTGTCATCTTTGTGGATACACCACCCAACCAAAGATATCATGGTGCCCTAGTTTTAATAAATTAATTCCTACCCAATTTCAACTCCAAAATGGAGTATCAACACACACTAAGAGAAGAGGCGTTTTTTAAAGATTACTTTTATTTCCCTGATTATCACTGTTCTTGTCCTTGTCAACTTCATAATTAAAATCATCACAATCTTTGTCACCATTATCTAGCACACACTCACAGCCAAACACAAATTTACACCTTTACTTGATGTCTTCTTCTTTTTGTTTTGTTCTGTTTTGTTTTGTTTTTTTTTACATCAATCCTCATTTGAAGCTTTGGGTATGGATTTTAAGCTTACTTACATACATAACACTCATAGTCAAATCAAGAGGAATGTTTGAAGCTTTCAATTCTTAAGACTCAAAAGTTTTATTCTTAAGCATTTTGTAAAACATTTGGGTGAAATCTTGTTAACATGGCTTATTTCTTCAAGTGTCTCTTCTCTGACGCTTACCTTTGGTGCATTAGCAGCAACTTTTGCAGCTTCAGCATATTGCATGCCACTGAATAAGGTGTTGAACTTTCTGACAAAAAGTTCCTCAGCTCCTGCCAAATTGTTCCTTACAGCCAGACGAAGAGCTAGATCAGGATTCTGTAGCACATTGGTGATGTATGGAATGATGTTGTCCTCCTCAACACTTACTGACAATACCTTAATTGGAACAATTTGAGGATAAACATAAATTTAAAGCTCAAATGGGAAAGAACTATATAATAATAATAATAATAATAATAATAATAACAACAACAACAACAACAACAACAACAATAACAACAATATTTATATAGGATAACCCTGTCAGTGTAATGACACTGGTATCAATTAGGGCCCTATAAGGTAAATAATAATGTTTACATCTCAAAAGGTATAATTACATGGTATTATAAAGTAAAATACTGAAAATAGGACTAGGACTAAGAGTCCTAACTTCTGGTGAAACATCACTTAAATTACCGTATTTCTTCACTTATAAGCTGATCTCAGCTATAAGCCAAGACCCTAAAAGTTAGAGACCTTCCAACAGACTTGTGTTGTCAAAAAAAAAAAAGGCAAAACCATTGGCTATAAGCTGAGAGAAAAATTCTTGATTGTAACTGGTCATTTGAGTGAGCGAACCAAACAAAAAACGTTGGGAAATGGCTCACTGAACACAAAAGCTAATGAATTACTAACAATAAACACAAAAGAAAAAAATGAATCGGTGAAGATGTAAATACTACTATGCAACTGCAGAAACTCACAGTTACTGTAACCTGACAAACATTTCAATCAAGTATCTCTTTTGTCGCTGTTATTTTTCTCATCATGCCAAAAGCATGCTGCTTTTCATATACTATGGCTTTCAGTGAAGATAAATGTTATTGTGGAAGCTGAAACTGTAGAAAACAACTCAGAAATTGCTTGAGATTATGGACTTAGCGAGTCCATGGTGCAATGCTGGAGAAGAGACCAGGCAACTATTCTTTCTGGTAAGCTTAAGATGTCTGAAATACATGCAAAAATAGGCAGTTTACTCCCAAGTATCCCAAACTAGTCAAGCAAGTGATGGAGTGGTTTTCACAGCAGAGAGACCACATATTTCATTCGTAATGCGAAATGAGAAGACCTTTGCTGAGTTGAGTGAGATCGTCTTTCAATGCGTGGGAAGCAAAGAATCTGATTGGTGGTCAGAAATAGGTTTTTGTCATAACATTTTTTAAACATGTCACAAAAAGAGTGCTGCAGTCATGGAATTTATGGCCATTTTGCATTAACTTTAAATTTGCAATTGTACTTGTTTTCGAGTCTCAAACACTCGGCTACAAGCCGAACTCTGTTTCTCATGAAAAATCTCCCAAACTTTTGTGTCAAATACTGAAAAAATCATTTGGCTTATGGGTGAAGAAATACAGTACCTAAACTACCATAATGTAATTCCTAAAGCAAAAACACTGGAACAAACCAATCATAAAATCTGTACTACACAAAGAAACTAAAAAGCTACTTAAAAGTTACCTGTCCCTTTCTGTTGACACCAATGATACCATCAGTAGGTTCATGAGGTGCTGTCACAAAGATTGTATCTCCACTGATTCGGTTCATGTAAATACAGGATCCACTTTCTACATCATACAGATGGATGTATCCATACTTGGTGATAAGGAAAACAATTCCATGTTTCTGGCTCACCTGAAAAAACCATCCAGAAGTTTCATTGTTTAATTCCCAAGATCTGACAAAACAATTCCTCCTTCTCACCGCCATAAACTTACAGTAACACCTGTGCCAAATCAGTTGTCAAAAGGAGTAGGTTCCTTAAGAAACTGTGGTGCTGCATTGGTGGCAGATATTACAAGATAATTTTGTTTTAGTCCCTGAATTGATAAAGCAAACAGGCCACTATAAAGAGATTCTTGAGTTGACATTTCAAGCATTAGCCCTTCCTTTGCTCTGAAGAAGGGTTAAAGCTTGACACATCAGCTTCACAAGCTCTCTACAGAAGCCAATTCACTAGATTAGCTCAGTCTATGTTGCAAACTTGACCTCCAATTTACCTGCATGGCAACAGGAAAGTCATTCTGAGCCTCTGGGGGAAAAAGTACTTCAACTGCCTTCTTGACAAATGGCTGGTTTCCTGTTGGTGGGGTTCCGACTTCAATGACATGCAACTGTTGGTAAGATTAAAGATAAGCTTAAGAACCTGTCAAGGTATAAAGCTGGTAGATCTTGATTTTCAATTTTCAATGTTTGTGTCCTTACACAATATTTCAGGTGCTTATGTTTTTGCAAGACTACGCAAACATCTTGCTGATTTATCACTTTTTAAACCACCTTACACAAAATGAACATTTCTTTGCTGCACGACATGACTCTGTAAATGTTTTTATTAGCTGGCACAGTAAAATATCTAAAATCGGAAGCCATCCAGTCGGCAATTGACAGAGTGTGGCTAAGGAGCTAAACTAGAAGCCAATTTTGACAAATATGGCAAGTATCAGATTGGAGGACTTGAACCAAAGAATGCCATATTACAAGTTCAATGCCATGGCCACTTAGCCATGCTGCTTTTCTATAGTGATGTCTGTTCTTTTACTAACTGCTTCAAATCAAAATTCATGTAGGATACCTTGTACAGTGTACCAAAAATTTTACCATAAGCCCTTCAGAGAGAAATGGGAAGTTTCATGCACAAGTTGTGCCATCAATTGAAAGATGGTGATGTCATATTCATCATGAGGGCCTAGCTGTATTGACAATATGATTTCTATTTAGATCTCTTACCTTCCCTCCCTGGGCTCCTCTTACAGCAAAGGTGAACAGAGTAGATTCCTGGGCATTGCCTTCCATTTTGAACTGCATGAAAGCTGCAGCATGGCCCTCAATTGGCTGACTAACCTTTCGCTCTGTTGAGTACAGTTGCATTGCACCAACAACTCGGTTTTGCTAGAAGAAAAAAGAAACATCAACATGAAATAGCAAGTTGCATTCTGACTATGGTAGGATCAAGAAAACCAAGATTTAAAATTGACTCTTTTTCATGTAGCCTCTTGGCTCCTAGACATTTTTAAGTGGTAGACAATTCCAAAATGTGGTCACTATTTTAATTGAGGACATTGTACTAGATAGACCCTCCAAAATTATGACAGAAAATAGACTTTAGTCAGAAAATCAAATCAAAGAATCTTGATGACCTTTCCTTTCAAAGAGAGGATAAAATGTTTCTGAATCATACTGTCATCTTAAATTTCACAGGCCCCAGCTCATAGAACTACCTAACCAACTTAAAAATATCTATACACCTTCAATACCTATTCGTCACTCTGTTGAAAATAAATAATAATTAATAACTAAGTCCATTATCATTTAATTACATTGAATTGTGAAAATCTGAGCTACTTTGTCAAAATAAATTGGAAATCAAGAAAATAATTTTACATGAACTTAATGTCAATGAAACGATCACATTAAACAAACTAAACAAACATTTTTAAAAGCATAAGAAATCTATTTTGCCTCAAGAGCCAGCACACAAAAAGGCAGACAAACAGTGTTATAAATTAGGAAGATTGTGTTTCACAAATAGCATAATGACTGATATGCTCTTTGCTTTTTAGTGTGTACCTGTGCTGAAATGCCAATTAGAAGCAGCCATGTGGCATCATGGTTTGTTCTGTAATTAATTATCTGACATCCAGCAAGACTAGAATGACGGTCAAACATCTTGTAAGGTTGAGAATCACCTGATGGGGAATTAAGTACCATATAATTATTAAATATTATGTCAGATTTTTTTATTACAGCTAAGAAATTTATAAATTATTGACTTAACATTTAGAACAAAAAATAAGCAACAAACCGTATACCACAAATGCATACCAAGATAAAACTAGTATTCTTTGTTAACTTAAAAAACATCTTACAACAGGAGTAATGACTCATAAATCAATCAATCATTGATATCTGTAAGGATAAATTATTCAATCAAATGGTGTGACAGTCACTGTAAGTAAGCCTGAAAAGGATCGTGTTCCCTGAAAATGAGTGTAACTGTAGAGGTAAATATTACTGGTTACCTTCCATGGACCAATGGTAGACAGTGGTCTCGGTGACAAGGGCAAGAGTATTAACATTGATCCACTTCCAGAAAGTGACATCTTCTACCATGGTATGCGCTTTCATTTTACTCTTCATCTCAATGTTAAAGATCTGAAGTGTTCTTCCCGCTAGAAATGGACACAAAATAAAGAAAACAAGAGTCTTGAAGATGTAAGAAATAATTTCAAGAAAAACGTAAGAAGGGAAAAGCCAACCAAGAAGGTTGCAAAAGGTTTATACATGAGACATGATTACGCCGTACTCTTCATCTCAATGTTAAAGATCTGAAGTGTTCTTCCTGCCAGAAATGGACACAAAATAAAAAAAACAAGAGTCTTGGACATGTATGAAATAATTTTAAGTAAAAAGCAAAAAAGGGGAAAGCCAACTAAGAAGGTTGCAAAAGGTTTATACATAAGATGTGATTAAGCCCTAAGTCAATATGGGGTGCATGAATTTTTACAGATGGGCAAGGTAAGGTGAGATTTAAAGTTTCCAGTTTTACATTTATTTAATGACATGTGAAAGACTGTTTTTAAAGTACTGGCAGGTGCATTTTTCTCAAATCCATAGGTGACACAGGATCAGGACCCTCCCTTTGCTATTCTAAACTAAATAACATCAACAGCTAACTTTTCTCTAAGAATATACTTTATGTTCCTACCTTTTAGAGCAATAACTTTTGATTTGGGATTCATAATAGCAGAGTCAGCAGAAATTGGTCTCCTTGTTGGATTGTTTGCATCACCTAGGTCAATAATAACTACTTGGGCTGTTTCTCCAACCTTTTCCCTCACACAAATAAATTTATCGGACTCCATGGTGAGGGTGGAGAAGCCGATGTTAGCAGCATTGATGCCAACACTTTGCAGCTGAAAATTGAATAAAGATTTTTAGTGACAACTGCTAAAGAAAAGGTACAACATTATGGAGAATCTGTCAAACAAAATGTAACCTTTCACAGTAACCCTATAAAAAATAAACAAACTTCATGCTATGTAGAAAAACATCCTTCTGTAAACTATGAAGGCAAACAAATGTCACAAAAGAAATTGCATTTTTTTTTTTAAATGTATATACCTACAGTATACAAAATTAACACAAGAGGCTGCATTATATTGGACCTAAATAGCAAAAATAAACCGCACACTTATATCAGCTTTTTTTTTCAATATCAAAATCTACATTTAATGTCTCCATTTTGGTTGTGCTTCATGTTTCACTTTTCAAAATTCTATATTCATCCTTATTCCTCAACAAACACAAAACATAGAAGAAAAAAAAACACTTCAAGCAAGTAAACGATTATATATCCTTAAATTAATTAATGAGAAATCAATCACATACACAGCTATAGAAGAAAAATGATGTGCAGCATATTAGAACTTCTTTTCATTACAATAAAAGACAACACATGTAGGAATGGATATCACTACAGCTCTTGGATTTCACTGAAATTCGTAAAGTTTCAACAGAAGTCAAATTTCTCCTTGATTCTGAGTATTTGGACGTGAATTGTGTTAACTATATGTATCACTGGTCACCATGTGATTTGCCTGACAGCACAAGTGAAGCAAGACATGAAGGATTTTAATACTTTAATTACAGCTGAGAATAAAACATTTGAATGCCCCCAAACAAAAATTGGAACAAGAAACGTTTACTAAACATTAAAAATAAACATATAAATATGTCACACAAAATCAAAACCAATTTAAGGCAAACGCATTGGTGTTTTTAGGACACTATCAAGCAAATTCTGGTCGCTTGGCATTAAAGAGTATCCTTCAGCTTTCAGTATGATGTACATTTTCTTCTAAATTATGGTTTACTTCGAAATGTTTGTGCGCCGCTTGAATTAACAGGAAGTAGAAACTTTGAATGACACAGGCCTTCTTGGATTACAACTTAAGATTAATGTTATCTAGTTTTTGGTTACAAACTTAGAATTTTCTACAAGCAATTATTTGAATGGACAAGTTCCAGAACACATTTGTTTCAATCAACCGCGTAGCGAATATATGTGTATGTTCATGCAATTTAACCACATTTTCCTCATAAAATCGTACAAACTTTTAATAATAGGTTTTTTTACCTTGATAATGTACAATTGGAACGCAGTACTTCGTTGAAAGAACGTAATTTAGTAAATTTCCATTCTACATTCAGGTTAGTGACACGGCGATATTTGGTCGATCTTTAGAATACTCTAGCGAACGAAGACCTTGTAAGCGGCTATTTGGCAAAGACAAGAATACTGCTTCCGCACTGATCCACATTTTGGTGCTATTCAAACGATAAACGCCACAAATAACGCGTAGTTTATCACGCTTTAAGGGTTAACTTGGAGCCGAGACGGCTGACATAAAGATCGTAAACTCATCAGATGGGTAATCAGAGTACGGGACATACCCACTTTCAAAGAACTTTGAGGTGACAAGATCTCTCAAATTATCCACAAATTTACCACGCAGCGAAACAAAAGATTGAAGAAGATAGAAAATATACCAAACAAGTTTCATTCCAACAATTCATGGCAGAGTAGCCGTAAATGCACATGCAAAGAACTTGTTCCTGTTTCCGACACGAAAGCTCCCTATGAACATTTACCCCAAGCCAAAGGCAATCAATGGCATTTTAGTATGTAGCTTCCATACTGGCATAAACAAAAATAACATAATAATTGCATTAAGGTAGAAAGCTTCATTGCTATTCGATGTAAACAGCGTGTGACAGAACCAAGCGCTCAAAAGAGCGAAAGAATACTACATATATTGCATAGATCAAACTCGCTGACTAACCTGAAGATGTTCTTGAAACCTAATCGGCAATAGCTGCGCCATTTTCTCTTAATTCCGTCAATAAACGTCGAGCAAGAGTCTGGGCTATTCGAAGGGGCCAGAAGGCACCTACAGAGAGAGAAAAAAACGTAGAAATCGAGTTCCTAGTCAGTGCTTGGTACAACCGAACATGGAGGACTCGTTGGCAGCCGGTGAGGTTATTGGAACGAGGCTTGGAGAGGGAGGTGCCACGTGAGAAAAATGGCGGACAGGGTCACGTGTTCAGTCTGCATTTGTTCCTGAAGTTTGAACTGGGAAAAGCTTTTTAATTTTTGATCCCCACTTCTAATTAGTTTTAATCTTGGTTGAACGTTTTGCCTCATGACACACAAGTAATACTTTGTCAAGAATGAAATTGATTTTAATTGTTTAGGCTTGTCTGTGTGCGTGATATAAATTCTTGAACCTCTCTATAACTCTGAATAGAGAGAAAAAAAGACGGTTCGCGCAGTTGAAGCATTGCTACTAAAAAAAAAGTTTCTAGTATTTACTGGGACAAAATATCAGGAACCATGAACATATTCATCTTTGCAATGACTCATGGGAAGACTTCATGACGGAAACTTACCTGTTCGAAATGAGTGATGGGAATATTTGTCACGCGTGTGGTTTTCTTAGGTGAAGGTAATCGCTCTCGCTGAGAACCGAAAGATAGTGCAAGTCTAAAAGGGCTTGAAACAGGTTTATACGGAAAGAGACAGCTCCATGGCTTAGACGATGAGCGGAAATGTCCTATGAACCACCAGTTCTTTCAAGGAAGCATGCCTCTACTGATGCAAAACCTCCCGAAAACAACAGTCGTTTACAATCACGTCCTAGCTATGGAGAGAAGCCAGGCATGTATAATGCATATTTGCACTTCGTAAACCGGCTCGAAATCCGATGATTTTTGAAAAATCGTCGTGTCAGTCTCTCTACCATTGTAATGAGTTTTCTTTGCCTCAGTAGTGAACGGTGTGTCGAGACCACTGGGCCGATCTGAAGAGAATGTTCAGCGAGAAGATTTCAAACTTTTGATTGATCCCGCCATAAAGAAAGGACATGCTAAAATCTATCGATACGGTGGAGTCTTTCCAGGGGTAAGCAAAGCGACTGTGTACGAAAGTGCCTTGATCTTGCATCTTGTTGTACACACTAGCGTTGAAGTTTTCTAAACTTGTTTTACTTCTTCCAGCAACCGCCGGTTGTCCCAAAGGATCCTCGCTCCAGGAGGAAAAGAATATGGACCCACAACAAAGCCGATTTACCTGTTCCTAATTTCAAGGTTTGTTTAGGAGTCATTTACCGAGAGAGATCTTTCCACGAGGTTTTAGAGCATCTTTGTTATCAATTTGTGATCAATTTACCGATAGGGCATTATTGTTTTTGCCTGGCCAATTTTAATTTAAAAACGATTGCCACTTCTAATTTTAGAACTTATTGTTTGTGGTGATTCCCTCTTGATTAGGTGGACAAATGGTATGTGGGAATTCCTCCGCAACGTGAAGTTCTGTTTTCGGGATTGAATGATAACGTGGATAAGAAATTTCTACAAGAAATTTGCGAACGTTATGGACGAATCGAGGCCATCAAAATATATTATGATCCACAAACAAAAAAACACACCGGAAAAGGTCGTGTGACTTTTGAAACCACTACCGCTGCTAAAATGGCAGTTTCTAAGCTAGACCATACTTCAGTAATGGGGAACATCATAAAGGCTCATATGGAAATCGGCATCAAAGGTAATCTACTGCACGCGATAAAGTCGTATTATCTGACAAAATTTATCAGCTGTAGAGTTGAATGTTTTTTTTTTTTGACGTGTTAACATTAATTACGTTTAATGTTATTGTTTTCCGGTGACAGTTGTACATTTCAATCCATCGTACTCGAGTGCATTATGGGAGAGTTCGTGACATTTCATGCTGCTATTTGGGTGTTTGATTTTGTAATGTGTTTTTAAGGGAAAACAGAGAGATCATTGTATTACCACAGATCAATTTTGAGTAAAAAGGTTTAAAATAGGATTAACTGCTTCTAATCTCAATTCCATGGCTCAAGCAGTGACTGTAAGAATAAAGTACAAGGTATTCGAAAGTCTCAAAGCTGATAAACGAACTACGTCATGTTAACTAAGATGTAACTGGTGATATCAATTAAATCAGGTCAAATTTTTCTTTACCTTTCCTCTTTCTGTGGGTGATGTCTCTGTTTCTTTTTCTCCTTCTTCATCACATTTCGTCATGAGTAGTATTTGAAGTTAATTTTTGACCACTGAAAGTTAGAAATTGTTATCATATTTAACATAAGATATTTGAGTTTGTATTTTAGAATTATGTGGTAGTTTTTTTGTTTAATTTTAACAACTGTGCTAATTTAGAAGCTTTACAGATACTGTCTTGTACTGTCAGAGAGGGTTTAGAACACAGGAGAAAATTTCATATGATGTTCTTGTCAGACATTACCCTTTGACTCCTTGCATCTAATTTCCCCTTCCAATTTTACCCCTTAATCACGCATTAAGGCTGGGAGATCATCAGCTTAAGAAGCTCTTAAGTATCAAACAAATTCTCCCTGTCAGCACCTTAGTAAATGTATTGAGAACAGTTTGGAGAATATACATGCACATGTAAAGTTGTGATGGGTTAAAACCTTGTGAGATGTGCAACACACACTTTTGTTTATACAAGAATTGTAATTAGCCAGTAATTTGAACTTGTGTATTAAAGGGGGTAACGCTTAACTCCCATGAGTGACCAAGACAGAATTTCTCCTTTCATTACCAATACAATATCAAGCGGACAAGTAATGAGAAAGAAGAACAAACAAAGCAATTAGGGTATCACTAGTTGATCCAATTCCCAATTTTCCAAATAGAAATCATATGAATTATTTTGCAGACAGTGAGGGGAATTGTTAATGAGATCTTTGGGACAATGCTTATAATTTTAGTTTGGAGAATTTAGTATTGAATCAAATGATAATCCACTAATGGATGTTTTTTTCTTTATTCTCATCACTTGTCTACTTGAGATTGTATTGATGTTATAAGGAGAAATTCTGTCTTAGTCACTACTGGGAGTGAAAGTTAAAAGAGTCTAACATGAAATTTGATCCATTTCTATATGTTATGAAGACTTAAGGCTGTAGTCTGTGAACTGCGAATGATTTCCCAGCATAGATCATAAAACCAAAGAAATTATTTGATGATGTCAGTATTGACTCAATAGAATGTATTTTTTTGGGAGGGGGAGGGGGAGGGGGGTAAGATTGTGAACAAAGACAACCAGAGTAAAGAAGAACTCTTTATGAGTCCATAAATTCATTTCTATGATTCTTTATTTGTCAAATTTAACCTTTACACTCCCAAGATCTTAATAGTAATTTCCTTACTGTCTGACAGGCATTGCAACCAGAGTTAGTTCTGAGGATTTGGTATTTAACCCATTAACTCCCAAGATCTGATTGTGAATTCTTCCCTCTACATGCTACCCATTTCCTTGTAAATTTAGTTCTGAGAATTTTGTGTAAGATCAAGTTAACAACTTCTACCTGATAAGTTTGTATATTCTCATTATCTGTTTGCTGGATAATGTAAGGATATTAAAGGGAGAAGTTTCATGTTGATCACTTCTAGGAGTTAAAGGGTTAATCAATAAGGAGCCAATAGTTGATAGGTTTCTTGGTACTTATCACCTGTTTGATTTACAGTACATCCTTTCTGAAAGGAGAAATTACTTTTTGGTCACTCCTGGTTGTGAAGTAGTCAACCCTTTAACTCCCAGAAGTGATCAACATGTAACCTCTCCCTATGGTATCCATACATTATTCAACAAAGAGGTGGCGAGATTACTCAAATTTATCAGGTACAAGATATTATCTTGATTGAACAGCAAATTCTCGTGACCAATTTAAAAGGAAATTTGTAGCAGCTAGAAGAGAGAAGTAACAATTTTTACTTTTCTGATTTCAGGACATGAAGTTCATGGTAAACACCCACCTGCCAGACGGAACTCAGGTCACGATAGTTACTCTTCAGCACACATCCCTACTCCATCTCCTTCCGTAATATCACAGTCATCTACAGAAAGTTCAGTGCTATCACCTTCACTCATGATGAGGAAAAGCCCTGCATCATCTGTACGACTACAAGGAGATACCTGGGCAAAGTCACTTTCTGCATCTTGGGATGGAACCTCACCAGCTGTCAAAAAATTAGCTCAAAGTGGATCAGCTTTCTTGTCTCCTCAAAGAGTATCGTCTGCACAGTCTACATTTGAACCTGTCTCACCACCCCATGTTTTCCACAGAAATGATGAACCCCCACCTCCCCCACCACCATCATCAAATCCACCTCCTCCACCAGTGGAGAGAGTATCCTCAAAGGAGCCCCCACCACCACCCCCTAAAGAGAAATCGGATCAGTCTTCCTCTTGCTTAAATTATGAAGACATCTCTCCAGATCCTGTGTTTTCTCCTGGTAGAGATGAAGAACGATCAGTGCCTATTCACAAAGGCAAGGACGACAATGCAAAAACAACAAATAAACTAATTGAATCATTCAGAAGGGAGTCAATGCGTACTTCTTCACCTCCTAGCAAAAGTCGATCACCCAGAATTGACAGAAGTGAAAGCTACTCAAAGTGGGAAAAAAGGAAACAGATGGAACGGGAAGAGAGACACAGAGATAAACACAGGGACCTTGACAGGCCTGGGGAATCGTATGATAGGGACCATGTGTACAAGGAGGATCGTAGGTTTGATAAGTATGGAGATTACCGACATAAGAGAGATGATTATTTTGAGAAGAAGGTTGATCGCAGAGACAATTACAGATGGGATGATTATGACAGGAGCAGAAGTGGAGGCCGCTGGGAGAAAGATGAACACAAGTATAGAAAAGATAGGTATAGCACAAGTCCAAGGAGAGGGGATGATCGTAGATGGGCAGAGGCAAGACCACGGGATCCTAGACTGCGGGACAGAGATAGTGAGATTGGTGAGGTGCTAAGTAAAAATGCAAGACATAATGAAAGAGATAAAGATGGACTTAATGGGGAAGATGACCACAGTCGTGATTTGAGATCACGAGGAAGAAATCAGGAAACTTCTGATACTCACATAAGAGACAAGAGAGCAAAAGAATGGTCCAATGAAGTGGGAAGCTCAGATGCAAGAACCATCGAAAGTAAGGAACATAGGCTGATTGATGGTGATATTAAAGGTTCAGTCAAAGACAGAGAAAATACATCAACTGATCTCAAAATCAGGGATCCCAGACTGAAAGACAAAGATAATGATAATGAAAGTATTTCTCAGTATGATTCTGCTCCAAACCTTACCAGCCAGGAAGGTGTTGATCCTCAATCAAAAAATAGTGTTGCTGATGAAAAAGACAAGAAATTAAAATCAGATTCAAAAACTACTGAAAGTGATGCAAAAGCAGCAACTGCCGCTGAGATTATTTCATCTGTAGTAGCTGGTAATTCACTGAAGGAAACAAAAGCTGTACACAGATATGCTGAGGATGCATATACAGTTGGTGTGGAAGCTTGCTCTGATGAAGAACCCTTACCTCCTGGAGATGAACGTGATGTTGCTCATGAAGTTCAGCTAGACATAAATAGAAGTAAAATCAAAGCTGCTCAGAATGCTGTGAAGAAGCGGAAACTTTCAGAAACTGTCCCAGATGAAAACCAGAGCAATGGAGCTAAAGCGAAAAAGATACAAATAGTCTTGAAAAGTGTTCAGCTCACTGCTGCAGACTCTAAAATGGATACTCCTGAGAACCTGAATCATTCACTCGTTGATGAGGAATGTGAAGATGAAGAGATCAGTGGTTGGAGGACAGTGACTTTTTCCAGTGATAAGTCAACACCTGAAGTGGCAGCTGATGTTGCAGTATCTTCAGAGTCAGGAGCCACCCTATTACAGGAGAAGAACTTACCACTTACAGAGGACATATCCCCCTTTAACTCTCCAGCTATTGAAAGAACAGGCCATGCGGAATGCAATGATTCCCCTGTTCATGTGTCTGCAGAACCAGCTGCACATGACATTTACTCTGACATTGAAGGAAATGATGAGGATGACAATGAGGGTGAAGATGTGAACAATGATAGAGATGATGATGCTATGTCATTATCATCCATTAGCTCAAATGAAGACACTTTAGAAGTGACTGAACCTGAGAGCAAACCTCTCCCCAAATCAAAAGGTATCTCTGTTCCACCTCCAAATGTTGTCTTCCCACCTTACCCCCCTCCAATGTTCAATCCCACCATACCACCCCCTCCATTCTTCAACCCCAGAGTACCCCCTCCACCCATAGGTCCTGTTACTGTTCCTCCCCCTCCCCTCCCTGTCCCTGGTGCTGTCCCACATCCCAACATGCGTCCTCCACTACCTCCTGCAAGACCCATTCTACCTCCAGTTGTGCTGCCACCTTCTGGCCCACCTATTCCAGTGCCACCTCCAGCCATACCTCGTTCTGGATTCTATGACACTCGGAGAGCACCTCAGTTCCCTAATGCTGGTTTTCCTAACAGTGGAAGTTATGGTTTTCCCAAAGTAGAGCAGAAAAAGACAAGGAGAGCTTTGATCATTGATGAAGTTTATAGAAAAATTTGTGTTGAACTGGATGCTGTTCTCAAGAGAGATATCTTCAAGAAACTTGTGGAGGCATCTGCATTCAAAGCTTTGGAATCTTGGTGGGATAATCAGACCAAACCAAAGGTATGTTGCTTGTGGCTGCTTAAAGTTCTTGTAGTTAGTAGTTAAGTTCACTTCTTTTGCTAGCCATTGTCATGATTTTAGCCATTATTTAAGGTAGTATTTTGCCCTTTTTAGCCTTTTGAAATTTAGAATAAAATCTTTAAGGTTCTTTGAGATGAGCCACAACTGAATGGATATTTCATCTAAAGTAAAGGCTGTAATAAATTTATTTAAGATACATCCAATTGCTCAGGTGATTACCAGACTGAGGACCACTGGATATTCTTTTATTTTACATGTAACCCCTTTAAAAACATTAATAATTTTGGCATTGGTCAGTTTGAAGGTTAGTATTCAGTTTTGTAACTAACTGTTGCAATTGAAATGAAGCAATTTTCTGCCAATCAGACAGAGAGCACACATTTTTTTTAATCTCCTGAGCAATGATAGTGCTGTTTGACCCTTTAACTCCCAAAATCTGATTGATAATTCTCCCCTGTAGCTGCTACATATTTCCTTGTAAATTAGTTACAAGAATTTGGTGTTCAATTGACAGAGCATCTACTACCTGAGAAGTTTGCGTATTCTCATTACCTGTTTGCTGCTTAATGTATGGATAATGTAGGGAGATGTTACATCTTAATCACCTTTGAGAGCTAAAGGGTTAATGAAATTGAGTGATAAACTTGATAATGGGTGGTGGAATTCAGAATGATAATTTTAATGATGATAATGATGACAATGATGACGATGATGGTATTTACTACAGATCCTAAAATACCATTTCCATTAATCAATATTAGACTGCTTCACCCACAACTGCAACTACCGCAAGAAATCTACAAATGTGCCAAACTCCACCAGCCACAGTTGGTCTTCCATCAAATTCTGGCACCGCAGCTTCCACAATAGGACCTAGTCCCTTTGAAAGATCACACAGCATGCTTCTTGGATTGCGTGCCTCACTTCCCAAACTTCCTTCATTTAAAGTGAAACGAGCACCAGAGCCTCCAAAGACAGAACAATTGATTAGTTCCTCAAGGAAGCGTAGCAACACGGAATCTTCAGACATCCCCCCGCGAGAGACAAAGAGACGCATTTTGGATGATGTAGACTCAGAAATGGAGACAGATTTGGAGAACAGCTCTAGTCTGGACAGGCGTCCACGCACCATCAGCAGGCTTGAAGAAGAGGAGCGGAGCCATTCGCCACTTCAGCTTGATGACAGTTTGGACGTTGCTCCGAAGGCTACAATAGTGAGGAGCAGTGAAGGTAATGGAATTTCTGGAGCAAAAAAGCTGTCCCGTCATATTAATAATGTGTTCCTGAATACAAGGAACTGTTTTAATTTATGGCGGGCACAGAGTAAGTACAGTGGTTACAGAGGTCCTTTCCTCAAACTCGCCTTGTGGATTGCAGGAAACATACAATTTTCGTGAGAATGTATGTTTGCTTTTTTTCCTGAGAACTAAATGATACAGGCTAATTGAGTATTATCACCTGAGTTGATAACTTGAATTACTCATCGTAAAGAGTTTAGAAGCTGACGTTTCGAGCGTCAGCCCTTCGTCAGAGCGAATCGGAAAGGCTAACGCTCGAAACGTCAACTTTGTTACCCTTTCCAATGGCCAATTTATGTTATCAACTCAGTTGATAATGATAACTTACCCTGTTATACTCTCCCACCGACGTAGCACCACAGTTTCTTTAGAAACTCACCTCCTCTATTCATATCCAATTGTTAGATTGATTTGGAACGAATGTTCTTCATACTTGAACCATGAAAATTGTATTTCACTTCATTTAGATGTTTGAAATTTGATTGACGTTTGAAAATGCTAATACCTAATATCTTACTTTTTCCTTTTTTGACCTAAAAAAAGTGCTCTTAATGCTTACTTTTGTGTTTTTCTTTTCTCAAGCTGATGAGCGACGACCAAGCACAGGCTCGTCATTGTACCATACATTGTACTCCAGTAGTAGCAACAGTAGTGAGTCAGGCAGCGACGAGAGTGAGTCTGATGGTGAAGATGAAGAAGAAGAGGTGGAAAGCGGAGAGGGCACTGGGGATGAGAGCGAAAGTGAAAGTGAAGAAGAAACTGAATCAGAAAGTGAGGATGACACTAGACAAGTCTCTGACAAAGAACAACAAGAGCTGGAAGTGAACATGGGTGTGGAGCAGGAAATTGATAAAGACTCAAAAATGGAAGTAGTTCACATGGAGAAACATCAAGGTAACAGGACAGAATGGTTCTTTTCAAACAGAAGTCTTGAAATTCGTTTCATTGGCACTTATTTGCCTTAAATAACAAATAGATTCAATGTTGCCGCGCTTCTGTACAGATCACAGAAGATGTGAAAATTGTGGTAAGAACAAAAAAGTGACACTGATTTGCGGACAATATTTTGACGTTTTTCTGTGATCTTAGTACTACTGTACAAAGCCACAGCAACACGGAATCTATTCGTTTAATGAGATAAAAAAGCAAAATGATGTTAATGATGACGTCATCTATGCGATCATATATGACGTCATCTCTGTATGAACCAATCAAAATGCGTGTAGATGATCACTTTTTACACGTACTTGAATTTAGAGGTCTCAAAAAAATTATTAATTTTGATAACAGATATTCTTAATGCTGCATACTGTCCTGCTTTTCTCTTGATAGATGATGTCTTTATAGAAGATCAGGAATCCTCAAACGAAATGTTGTCTAACTCGATGAACGCTGAGAAAACTAGGGAGCCAGAGTCTTTCAGTTGTAAGAGTGGAGAAATATTAAAAACAAATGAGCTAGAGACTGTCTCAAAAGGAATGAATTACAAGGTGGGAGAATCTGCACCTACCGAGACGTATCGCTCTTTCCACATCGCTCACATTGTGCCTGATTTGTTCAAAAATGAAGATACGTTGAGCAAAAGCAGAACTTCATCTGTGGAAGAGAAAGACAATTCAAGCGAAAATAGTGGAGAACTTGTAATGAAAGTAGAGCAACCGCCGTTGAGAACGTCAGATACTCGAGATACTAGGAATATCGAAGACAGTGGTCATTTCCTCTCGGAAGAAAAAGATATAACTATGAAACAAGGCGATTCATTCGAGAAAACGGAGGTTAAAAGTCCATTACGTGCACCTGTGATTGGTTTTCGAGAAAAAGAGACGATTGAACGTGAAAATTATATGTTTTCCCATGAAGAGGAACAATTCCCTGAAACGGACCAAAACTTCGATTATTCGGAGGAAAGAATGCCTTTACTTTCCCCTGACAAACCATTGGCTGTTTCGCTTGTTGAACTTGATCACCCGTATGGATTAACTATTCCAGAGAAACTACCACCAGAGTCTGTAGAAGAAGAAGCTGAATTGTTCAACGACAAAAATATCATAGACACTCCCCTCCATGAGGACAGACGACTCGCTGAGTCTCCTATTGTTGACGTAGTGACTGTTAACTCGACGTTATCCTTGCTGCCTGAACTTACCTCTCCTAAGCCCCAGTTCCCCGTGCGGTCATTTGAAGCCGATGATGAGCTTGTGTACGAATTTCAGAGAGTGGGCATCGACGCAGAAGACTGCTATTATCTAAAAGTTGGTTTTGAGCAGCTTCAGCAGGTTGGATCTGATTCAGTCGTGGACGCACACTGGAGTAGTCACTCACATATCCTTTTTAACTAAATTCAGTATAACTTTAGCTAAAGCAGTTTTTTTTTATTCAATGTCGAAGGTAATCCGGGAACGCTTCGGTTTTGTTTAGCAACACTTTGAAAACTCCTGCCACCCTCTTAACCAATCAGATGCTAGGCGAGAAACCTATTGCAATTTAAGTCACCCGCGTTTTCCCGCGCTTTTTTTACTGAGATGTTATTGGTCCCTTTTGATAATTACTTTGTTCTGATTAGACGCTGTGATCCCGTCACTCAGTTTAGACGCGCTCAATCGGGTCTTGCCTTAGACATTTTCGGATGCATTAACTGAAAAGCATTAAATGAATTTTTGGAACTGAGTAGAAACCAACACAGCGGAAACACATGGGTCAAAGCGTGCGCCATAGGATCAATTTTTGCCGCCCGCGCGCCAATTTCCCGCTCAAAATTTCCATGGAAAGCAAAAGAAACAACCGCTGTCTCGCAAAATGACCGAAAGAAAAAACGAAACGAAAGTAAGGGAAAGGCGGGAAAACTCGAGACTTGACGAACACATAGCTTATTCATGTACAAGTAACCTGATTATTTTCCATTTTGTTTTGGGCTTTACCAAAAATGTTCTACGCCTCTAAAACACGGTGTCTCACTGGCTTGTTTGGTTTTTTGTAACTCGTATGAGACAACTTGACACTCTTTTTGCACTCTGGGCCGTCTTCATGTGTTAACTCTGAGCTCGTATTAGCTGCTTCTTTTGTTACGTTTTGAGCTGAATAGTCGTTTTGTTCAAGTTTGTGTTGGTTTTAAGCCGCTTGTTAGAAAAGTGCTCTGCAAGAGTACTGGCATTTTCTTTAACCAACCTCACCGACCGCTCAAAGTGTAACAAAAGGACGTCGAAAACTGAAAACAGAACACGGTGTACGTGTACATGTGACTGGATGTGCCCGAGCGGAAGGCTTTTACAAGATTGACATCAAAGAAAAGGCTAAATATCTACAGGCTCAGAGAAGACAGCTACAGTGTCAGGCCAACGTTACGGTGGAGGAACAGGTACTCTCACTCTCTCGTTACTTTCAGCCCGCGGTGTTAACGAGCGCTTTTAATTCAACTAATTCATTCTTGTTTTTCTCTTTACCATGATCCCGTCAATAGCGTAGCTCCATTTTCTGCGTACAAACACGTACACACAACCTATAATTCCTTCACCCCTCGGATGAAGAGCTAACACTCGAAACGTCAGCTTTTAAACTGTTTACAGTGGCTAATTTACGTTATCAACTCAGTTGATAATACCAAATTACCAGGTCATACTCTCCCACCGACGCAGCGCCACAGTTTCTGTAGAAACTTACTTACCCCCTTTAATCATTGATTCTCATTCGTCGGGTTATAGTTTAACCCTTCCACTCCCAAGATCTGATCGTTAATTCTCCCCTTTAGCTTTTGCACATTTTATTGATTAGTTACGAGAATTTGGTGTTAGAATAAGCTTACAACTTTTACCTGATAAGTTTTCGTATTCTTATTACCTGTTTGCTGTATAATGTATGGATGTTGAAGGGAGAAGTTGCATGTTAATCACTTCTGGGAGTTGAAGGGTATAGACAATGTTTTAACAAATTTCCCGATGTCTTCCTACTAGAGTCATGTTACTATCGCCCGGCCTCTGTCGTGCACGTTTTTTTGCGCATAAAACTGTTCACGTGTGTTTGCTCACTGGATCATTTACCTTTGTTATGATTTGTCGTTGTCATTGCTTTGGTTGTTGTTTCCCAACACTTAAACGAGAAGCCTCGAGCTGTGTAATGAAAAGCTGATATTTAGACGGTTGTGGTGCCAACGTGCTTCTTGTTTGTTTTGACGTCTGTTCCTTTAGCTTCTATACATGCCATCATCCAAAATAGTGAATCGCATCGTCTAAGGAACACTTTAGTGATAAACTTTTTTTTTGCCGTTATCCTCAGAAAACAGACGGCAACAAGGCTAAACAACAGTCACGTGAACACAGAGCGATACAAAGAAGATTACAGTCAGCGGTGTGTAATGAGGAATTTGGTGACTTGCTCAAGTTTAATCAGCTCATGGTAAGAAATACGTAACTAACACTTCAAGCATGTGGTTTCTGAACCATGGCTCTCCTATTAGTTTTACTAAACGCTCAAAAAACGGCCCCTATTACGATGACTTAGTCAAAACTTGAAAATTGGAAACTCCTTAACATGTAGTTTTTTTTTATTGCAAGTAGCCTTGTATTTTTCAACACCTTAAAATTAGTCGCTGCAGTTTTTCTCTGATAGCTTTCCTTTGGATTCAAACCTCGAAAAAAAAAAAGAAATAAAATTTTAGCTTGTAACCTCTTTCAGTGCTCAAAATCTTACTTCTCCTTACGGAGCATCGCCGACTTCAGAAACTTTTTATCGTCAAACAAATTCTTAATGTGTAGAGAACAGTGCAGAGTACAGGATACTGGTGTCAGCGTGTAAATGGTTCATACTGGATTCTTTAGTGTGGGGTGATTTTCAATTGAGTATCAAATGAATATGGATTTCTTGGTTTTTGCTTTGCTTCGTTTTATGATTGGTTCTGGAGACTCTTTCCATCCTCTCAACTACTCAGATTCAAATTTACAACAAATGACGACTTGGTCACCGGCGTTTTTCCGTGCGTCAAGCAGTTAACTTGTTTTACATTTGCGTTCTCGTTGGCTCCTCTTGATATTTTCCTTTTCTCTGATTTGCTGTTTTGATTACACTGGTTTTGGTTTTACGTCAACTAATCGAAAACTGCTCAAAAGAGTTCTCTTCATATCCTTTCCATTTGTCGCCAGGTGCGTAAAAAGCAACTTCGATTCGCTAAGTCGGGTATCCACGACTGGGGTCTGTTCGCCATGGAGAACATTGCAGCGGATGAGATGGTAACAGAATATGTCGGCGAGATCATCAGGCAGCCCATTGCGGATATCCGTGAGCGGAGATACGAGGAGATGGGAATCGGATCAAGTTACCTGTTTCGTGTTGATCAGGAAACGATAATTGATGCTACCACTAAAGGAAACTTTGCGCGATTTATTAACCACTGCTGTGATGTAAGTATCATCTTTTTCTGTCGCTATTAGTTCCCAGGTAGCTTATTAGAGCGGTTTTCAATTGAGTGTTGAGAGTAATCCGAGAATGCATTGGTTTTGCTTTACTTCTCTCCTGTGATTAGTTAAAAAAAACTCGCGCCTCGCTTTCAACCAATCAGATGCAAAACTAATACCAATCACGATTTGGTCGCCCGCGTTTTCCCGCGCTTTAGGCGGTTTGGTTGTTTTTACTTTGAGTTCTCATTGGCTCTTTCAGTTATTTTCCTTTCTTCTGATTGGCCGTTGTGATTACTTTGGTTTTGGTTTTATGACGCTCAATCGAAAAGTGCTTTTTGAGGAGAAATCAGCCGAGAGCAATTTTGAATTGATTATCGAAGGCAATCTTGGAGGATAATGGTTTCTTTTTACTTTTCTCTTTGATCTTAGTCTAAGAAAAAGTTTTGCTTTTGTAACCGATCAGATGCAAGACTGAAACAAAACGCGATTACGCTTTTCGCGTTTACCCGAGTCCCAGTCACTTTGCCTGTTTTTACTTTACGTTTATAATAGCGCCACGTGATATTTTGCTTCGTTCTAATTGGCCGTTGTTTTGAGTTTTGGTTTTGATTCTGCGACACTCAGTGGAAGTGCGCCCTACTAGTCAACTGACTTTACTGAACTATTATGAGGAGAGAATACTATCACTCCATCCAGTATGATTTTTCACTACACAAAGCAACACAGGTTCAAATACAAAGGGTTCCTCCAGCACAAAAGCTTACTTAACTAAAAAGAGTGTTGAAAATGTAAGCTTTTTTAAGGCTTAAAAAAGCTTACGTTTTAAATGCTTTTTTTTAACCTTAGAGGGCTGCTATGTAGTATTGCTTATGTTTATTGTTTTTGTCAATGTTTGTACCTTCAGTTGGGGATTGGAGGGAAGAGTGTGGGTGGTCTGGGCTCTACCTGGGCCAGCCCCTGACCTTGGTTGCTCTTCAATTTTGATGCAGGCGGTTCTGTGCGGTGTGTGTTTCGATCTTATTCTTCATTCCCTCTGACAAAGGGCTAACGCTCGAAACGTCCGCGTTAGAAACTTTTTACGGAGGCCACTTTACATACATAACTATTATATCATGTTTAATTATTTTTCCTTTCGTTTTCCACAGCCCAACTGCTACGCCAAGATAGTCACTTTAGAGAATGCCAAGAAAATAGTCATTTATTCCAAGAGAGATATCGAAGTCAATGAAGAAATCACTTACGACTACAAATTCCCCATCGAGGACGAGAAAATCCCATGTTTGTGTGGTTCTCCACAATGCCGGGGGACCTTGAACTAACGCAACATTTTGTATATATCTCTATCGATATTTATGCGTATGAATTTTGTACAAAGGAAGAAAGGTCTTTTGACGTTTATCCGTAGAAATTGGCTACTTCTTTAAAAGAGCATCATGTCGTGGGAAACCGACTCAAAACAATGCGAATTCCCATGAAAGTTTACGAAAGCAATTCCTGAAAGGAAACTTCTAGCTACGGAACCAAGTCCTTTAGACTCTTGCTGCGACATTGGTTGTTCTGCGTTGTTGTTGCACTCTGTTGTTCTTTGTTCCCGCGTAATTCTATTCAGACTGTGTTGTTTTGTGCACCGGGCCTTTTTTGTGTCCGATTTTTCATGGAAGAGTGAATAAAATGATTTCTGGACCGAGTGATGGCCTATTGCCTTCTGAATTATCCAAGTCCTTTTCCGACCCTCTTTTCATCGTTTTCTCTCACCCTCTACTGAGAGTTTTGTCTGTTAACCATTTAACCCCTTAGAGTGACTGGAATTCAACATCTCCTTACATTATCACCTCTGAATCAAACATTGAGGTCACGAGAATAAATGAATTGATCTCCAACTAAAGTAGCTCCTGTTTGTTAAACAAATTCTCCTTGCAGCATCTTAGAAAATGTATAGAGAATAGTTTGGAGAATATGCATACTGATATTAGGGTGTAAAGGATTTATTCTTGAACTCTAAAGATCCAGTTTTTCAAAGTCTCCTAAGTTCAGGGCCACTACATCTTTGTAGTTGTCTATTAGAGAATTAATGAAATGAGTAAAAAAATTATGTAAAGATGAACAGCTAACACTGGTAGAGTATGTTGCGTTCCAACATTCTCCTCCCCTTGCATGCTGGGTAAGATCTTGTGGCAGATCGGCTGGAAGTACAAGCTTAGATGCGTGCCATCCCCATTATAAATTAGAGCACAACTTAAAAGGATTTATCATAGCACACTGCAGAAAGTTCCCCTTTGCGTGAGTAAGGGAAAGCAGTTCTTGAGGTTCTCAACAGAGACATTTGTAGCTGTGTATGTTTCCATGGGTACTCTCCTTCGTTAGGAATCTGGAATCTAAATAGAGATTCTGACAGGTCGATGCTCGACAAAATCTGAATACGACACCCCTAACCTTTACCCTTCCCCTCCCCAATATTCTGCTTCGAGTAGAAAGCAAAATGAGAGGAGAGCTGGTAACTAGTCCACACGACAAAGATGTTTGGAAGAGGGAAGTCGTACAAAATTATTTTAAAAAACAACCACCTCAGGAATTTACTTTTATCAAGAAAGCTGAGTAGTGTAAAAGGTCAGATTCCAAGAAGATCGTTTCTTTACATCCCAGGAAACGAGGAACGAAACGTGTCAAAAGCGACTGGTTTGAACTCTGACTGTGTGGTGTTGGACTGTGAGGATGGAGTAGCGTCCAACAAGAAGGTACAATGGGTTAAAATGAAGCGAAAAAAGCTTAAGGTTTACAAGATACTCGGGGAATTAAATGGTAGAGATGATAATTAAGTATTGAACTTCACGTGAACAGAACAGTTGCATTTGAGTGCTAGGTTCACTTCCAACAATCCCCGTCTTCAGAGAGGGATGGAAAGCCCTCTTTCAACAAGGGGGTGGGGGTGAGGGGAGAAAGTGTCAATGAAGCTTAGGTTTGAATAAAATGAATTTTCTATTTTAAAATGAACTCTTTGCCAATCATAGGAGTTACATACTGAATAAAAGAAAATTCTCTTGAAGATCAGGGATGTCCCTCTGGTGAATATTGCATTCTGACTGCTTTTACACGTGGTTGAGTGCCATCACAACAAAGACTATTGGTCAAAGTGGCCTCCCTTTCCCCCCTCACTCACTGAATATTATAAATCTACTGTTTTTTTTTTCATTTGGGAAATGTTGTATACATCTTGTTTATGCTGATTGAATAAACTGTAAATTGGGATGATCTTCAAATATTTAAACAAGATGATTATTTTCTTCAATTTTTTCAATTATTCACCAAGGTGGAGGTGAATAGTGGTAGATATTTGCCAAGCCACAAAGCAGCAAAGTAGGCAGTTTCATAAATTTATCATTTATCACAGGAAGAAGCAAGGAATACTATCCACAACATACTTGGTCAACTGAAATTTGGTTCCAGTGAAGTGTGTGTTCGTATTAATTCCATTGAGACTGGTTTAGCAGAAGATGATTTGAAAGCAGCTTTGACAGCAAAGGAACTGCCTGACTCTATTGTGGTACCCAAAGTAGAGACTGTGGAGCATTTAGATTGGGTAATTTTAGAATTTATTCCTGAAGAGCATTTTAATATCAGAGTTTTAGCTAAGTTATGCAAGAGAATAGTGTCTACTTCCAAGAAAATGCCCTTTATGTCTGAAAAAAATTGCCTCGGCCATTGAAATTCAGCAAGTAAATTATGTGTTGCAGAGGAAGAATTTTCCAGTTCATGATATATGATAAGCACCATAACCATAACCTTGTATAATACTTGACAGTTGCAGTTTTTTCAGACCATTATTTTGAACATGCCATTTTGAAACCTGTTGAGCAGTCCTTTTATGGTTTTACTGAACTCCAAGTGGTTTTTAGGTAGTAATAAGAGGCACAGGTACTATGGGCAGTGAATTGTACTGATTACCGCTTGAAAAGGAGAACACTGCTGTAGTATTCTAAAGAACTAAAGTAGGTGTACCTGTGTTTGATCAAGAAAACTGACCAAACTCTTTTAGCCACTCGCTGGATAAAAATCCAAAATCGCTATTGACTTGATCACTCTTTCCCCATGAATGAGACAGCTTGTATCTGTTTACTTGGGATGAATTTTTTTTCATTACATTTATAGTTACCTTCAGCTTGGTTGACCTTTGTTGATGGTTGGTTCAGCCTCACAAACACTTAATCAATATGCTTCATAAGGTTTTGTCAGGTTTATTTATCAAGAATTGTATCTTTGAATTTTTTTTCAACTTTCAGTTAAGTGACAAAGTGTCCTCCATAATGAAGCCAAGCACAGACACAAAGCTGGGGCTTGTCACCCAAGTTGAAAGTGCTCTTAGTCTACTTAATCTCCATGCTGTCTGTGAACATGGCACATCAACTGACGGACCATTCAGATTTGAGGCTTTAGTATTTGGATCAGATGACTTTCTTGTCAGTATAGGTGGGTTAACCCTTTCACGAGGAAGAATAACAAAAATAAAATTACTCCTCACTTTGCCAATCAATTTTCATGCAGAGAGGTGACCAACAGAAAGGGAAATATCAACTATGGGATACTTAATAGCTAAAGAATTCTCTGAGCTAAAATTCAAAAAATTAAAAAAGCAGGCAGAACAGAAGCCAGCAAGTCTACCACTAGTGGTTACCTTTCATTATTTATGGTACTAGGACTGATTGGAGTTCAATTTTGTCTGTAATCATATGAGTGGTATCAAAACTGTTTTTGTTCATCTCAAGTATGATTACAGACCGAATTGGACAACACAAAATCTTATTACTAATTGATCATAAAAAGTACAATTTCTGAGAAAACAAGAATAGCCAAGTTATGAAAGAAAGGGAAAATTTGCATCAGAAGATGGACAAAGGAGGCATTTCTATGGTGATTGAAACCAATATTGTGATTGGTTGATACTACCACTTTGAATGTGATTGGTTAATTTAAAGTACAACTTTGAATGTAATTGGTTGATTTAAAGTACAACTTTGAATGTGATTGGTTATTTAAACTACAACTTTGAATATGATTGGCTTATTGAACTATCCGATAACAAACTGTCCAATAACAACTTGGCAAGTGAATTAGTAGAAAATAGGAGTTTTTTAAATCAATCAAAGTCAAGGAATTGTAATTTTTATGATTAAAAGTAGGAGTCTGTAGTGATTCTAGAACCTTAGGCACCCATGCACTACTATTTTACCCTTTTCAATGGTTGAAGCTTCTGTGATGTTTTGTTTTTTAGAAGGTCCAAATGATAATGTCAAGGGCTACAACCCATCACGTTTTTTAGTCCCCAGCCATCATGTTTTTTAGTCCCCAGCCATCATGTTTTTTAGTCCCCAGCCATCTAAATATTCATTTGTTGTAGTTAAAGATTTAGGGCTCACTTCTGGGTAATTTTTTTCCCTTCTTCCTTTCTGGATTATCTTCTCATCGAATTGATTAACATGTACCTTCTCCCTAGAATAATATCCATACATTGTTCAGCAGTCAGGTAATGAGAATACTCAAACTTATATGGTATAAGTTGTTGTCTTGATCTAACTCCAAATTCTGGTAACCAATTTACAAGGAATTGTCTAACAGCTAGAGGGAGAATTGACAATTGGATCTTGGGAGTTGGCGGGTTACAATAATTAATTTTTTTTACTTTGTACCATTGTCAACTTCTTCTCCACCATCACAATAATAGGTTCTGGTGTGCCTATCTATCATTGTGAAAAGCACAAATACATTGTGAATAATTTAGGGAGAAAGTTGAAAAATCTATTAAGAAGACAAAATCCCTCTAGGGAAAAGATGTCTGCACTTAATTTAAAATGCCTCCCAATGTTTGACATAACTGGCATGGAATCTATTTCAGGAGCTACTCGCACAAAAGATACAAAGGAATTGATTCATGCTCGTCAGAGTGTAGTTGTTCATGCAAAGGCTTTTGGTCTACAAGCTATTGATATGGTTTATATTAATTTCAAAGGTAAGAAATAATTGTTTGTCAGAGAAAGATGCTCTTTTGTCATGTTACAAATTTGGGTTCGGAAATTAGGTGACCCATCCCTGCAATGGGAGTGAAATTTGCTAACCCTCCCCTTGAGCTTGGCCTAAAATATCATGACCCTCCCCCTCTTGTATAAATGATAAAATCTAGTTCTTGCAATATACTAGGGTGCGTCAGTATTATGAAAACTCAAAATATATTTCTAATCTGTTCTTTGTCATGCTACATACACACATTTTCGATGACAGCATTAATTAATTAATTAATTAATGAAAAGTACATGTTTGTTAAATTCTTGCTATAGTACTTCACAGTTTATATCCATAACGTTCCGTAAACCGTTGTATTTTTCTCTTTTTTTCGCCAAATAAAGAACTTCCTTTTTCTTCTGTGGGTGAACCTCTACATGATCACTGGCATATATTTGCATGACCCTCCCCCTTTTAACTGCCCATTTTTCATGACCCCTCCCTTTTCTGATGCTCAAAAAGTTGTGACCCCCCCTCTGTTTCCACCCCCCCTCCCCCCCTGCTAATTTCTGACAAGTCCCTTAGCAAGGCCATTACAAACTTCATATATGATATGCGTCCTGCATACTGCTAGGATCAGCAATGTAGATAGCGTCATGTTTTGTAAATATAATTTTTTGAGATATTTCTATTTCTTTACGGAGCTCAAAACTTACCATCTTTCTTAATCTATTTACATGTGGCAGTTGTTTGCATCCTTGTTCCACAAGGAAGAATGTGTTCATTATCATACCATAAACACTTTAATAAGGCCCTTAGGGGTATTGTTTCAGAAAGTTGATTGGGAGGAGGGAAAAAAGGGGTTGTTAAAAAGAGGACACTTATGAGGAACCTAAAACTGTAGAGAGGGGTCTATCAAGGTTAGGCTTATAGGAGCAATGTTCTTAATATTAGCTGTTCATGTTTGGAGGCCATATCAATGGTTATTCACTTACTAAGGCTTTTGAGAGGGAATGAGAGTGACAGCATTTTAAAATAGTTCTTATTTTGCTTTTATTTGCAGATCCTGAGGGTTTACAGGCACAAGCAGAGGAAGGTGCTAGGTTTGGTTACACTGGTGAGTCTGTGTTTTCTTGTCATTTTTCTCTTTTGTTTCTGTCAGGACAATTGGAGGGCTCAGAGCAAGAACGATCCCTTGATTTTTCGGCCATTTTTGAAAGTGTTCAGAAGTAGTTGAATTTTGGCATGTGGACACTTTCAAAAATGGCCGAAAAATCAAGGGATTGTTCTTGCTCTGAGCCCTCCAATTGGTCTCTACTTTGAATTTGTCCTGATAAATATAACTTGCTCAAGTTAGACGAATCTAGCTGTTTTGATTATTTAACCCTTTAACCCCTAAGAGTGACAGGCATCTAATTTCTCCCAACAGTGTCACCCCTAAATCAAACATTAGACTTATGAGAATAAAGGAAATGGTCACAAACTTAAAAAGCTCTTGATTGTTAGACAAATTCTCGTTGTAAGCACCAAAGGAAATGTGGAGAGATCAGTATGGAGAACTTGCATACTGATGTAAGGGTGAACAAAGTGTTCCTTGTTATGGCTAAGTGATTTTGTTGAGTGCTTGGGTAAAGAAAGTAACTTTTACAGTGTCTCTCCCCACTCAATGGCTAGGAGCTAACCTGGGACAATCTAGCATCTTTTCCATTAGGACAAGCAGTAGCTCTCTAGATATTAAGCTGAAGCAGTTTATTTTAAACTGGATTATTGGATAATGCAATTCAAGAGTTGTCATTGGCTTAGCCATTGTAGGTTATGAGTAATTATACCATGCATGCGCATGAAGATAAGTTAAACTGGAAGTGTTTTTGTACATTGTAACATTCTATTTGTTCTAACTTACAAAATAAAGTTGGGAAGATTTATCTATATTTTGGGGTGTTTTTCAATGAAACAATTATTCCACACAGGCTTGTTGGATATGAGATGATTATAGGGAGTTGGCTCTCTTTCACCTCATTAATCCAATACACTATGGCAGAGGTGGGGTGTTAAGTCTGTAAGAGTTAACTTTAATTTATGTTAACCCTTTAACTCCTAGAAGTGATTAACACGAAACTTCTCCCTATAATATTCATACATTATTTAGCAAACAGGTAATGAGAATATTCAAACTTATCAGGTAGAAGCTGCTATCTTGATCTAGCACCATGTTCTTATAACTAATTTACAAGGAAATGTGAGGCAGCTAGAGGGGAGAATTAACAAATAAGATCTTGGGAATTAAAGGGTTAAACCATTTTCTTGTATCATTTGATGCAAACAGGTAAACAAATAATACACCCAGGACAGATTGAAATTGTTAACAAGGCATTTTCACCAAGTGAAGAGAAGGTTAAATGGGCAAGAGATCTGGTAAATGCTTTTGAGGAACAAGAAAGAGTTGGAAAGGTCAGTTTGATCTGAGATATAAAGCAAAGTAGGCAAGAAAGCTAAGTAGATATAAAATTTACTTTGGAAACTTCATTTCATCTCCTTGTTTTTCTCTTTAAAAAGGGTGCCATCAATTTCCATGGCAACATGATTGACATGCCAACAGTTCAGCAAGCCAGGAATGTTCTTCGATTGGCAGAAGTTACACAGAAAAAGTAAAAAGTAAATAATAGCTTTTGAGCCAGGCTTGATGCAAGGACATGGTTTAGGAGAGTCCCAGAACTGCATATGACCCACCTTGTGGACAAGAAAAAGGGACGTGTGGAGTTGGTTCTGCAGGACCCTTCCTCCCCCCTGCTTTAAAATCCAGATTACCTTGTAGACACAGTGAGATGCAAGGTCCCTTCAGAAATGCAAATGACACTGAGATTCAGAAAACTATGAACACTTTTATGTCATTCTGGTAGATCAAATGAGTACTGACCTGTTGCAATAAAGTGAAGTAAACCGAAACAAACATCTGAATCTACAAACTGTTGCTTTGCTGGGTTTTCTTTTCTTTTCCTTGGCTCACTCCTTGGAACACCTTGAGATGTTGTTATTTGGGGGCATCTGCCTTAAGGGGGCACAAACTTACAGGGCATATCTGTTGAAGGGTCCAATTTTCTCAGTTCTGAGCTTATCCGTTAAATGGAATGTCCATTAACTGCAGTGGGAATTGCATTCAAAATGTTACCCTCACCTTGATTTTGCAGCAGAATGGGTACTTCAGAAAAACATAGTTCATTGTATGTAGCCTGCATGTGGGTGCCTAGCAATAATGCAAGAAATTCATGCAAGGGAGAGAGAGTGTAACTTCTTTCCATGTCCTAATTTTCTAATTACTTACTCCTGGTTTAATCGAACACCTGCTACTCAGGCAACAGTTTTATTATATTTACATGGTCTTCCACAGAGTCCTGTGAAATTACAGTGAAGTCCATTAATGAAGAGTATTGAGTAAACGAAAATATGAAGAATGTTAGTTTCATTCTAGAGGCAGGTTAGTTATATAACTACTAATTTTAGAATGCTTTTAACCCTTTAACTCCCATCAGTAACCGAGACAGAATTTCTCCTTACAATATCAACACAATATCAAGCAGACAAGTGATGAGAATAAAGATACATATCAATTATTAGTTGATCCAATACCAAATTCTCAAACCTAACATCATAAAAATTGTATGGTAGACAGTAAAGAGAACTGACTAATGAGATCTTGGGATCTTGGTTAAAACATTACATGGCTAAGGTTCCTTTGACTTGAGAGCATTCTAGGTATTCTCTCTCAAGCAATGAAGTTCTAAAATCATTCAAGTTTTGCTGTTGTCTTATTTCCGAAGTTGTTTCCCTCATTTCCATTTGGCCGAGATTTTATGAGATTGTATGTGTGTACACCTAACATATTGGCAAAAACTCTGACTTAAAACCGGAGAGAAGTGCGGAAAAAATAAAATGTTGAAATATTGGTGAACACCCGCCTTAAAGTAAGATGGAAGGTGGGGCATACAGGTGTGTAAATAGCCCACTTTTTGCATAAGTAACTTGCTTATGTTTGGTCTCTTATGGTCCTTGATAACAGTCAATTTCAAAGAACTTCACACATCCACTTCTGGTCAATAGATCAGTGCGGTAATATTTCCTAAGGCCGAACCACTGAGTGGGGCTCTACTGTATTTTTGCGTATTTTACCTCGGCATAGTACTCGGAGTACATCTTTAAATGCCATTTTGAACTGCTTATTCAAGAATGCATATATGATAGGATTGCAGATTGTGTTTGAAAATGCCAGCCATGCTGCCACCAGAGGAAACGATGAAGAATCACTCGCATGCAGGTCTAGAGTTTCGAGGATGCTATACACAGCGAAAGGAAACCAACAAACTTTGAATGCCAGAATAGTCACCAACAATACTTTAACTAGCTTTTCTTGTTGATTAAGTCGTTTCTGCGTTTTACCGAGCCGCACGGTACCTGATTGTTCTGACGGAGTTGGAGAAATGACCCGAGATGTTTGGCTGTTGTTGTCCTCTATGACTGTTGCGTCTTTAACGCTAAACGTTTCTACTGGAGCCAGTCCTGAAGATGTTGAAGGCGTTGTGCCTACTGCTCGCATATGCAACTTAAAGTTATAGATTGTTCCTGTTTCGGCAATCAGTGTGCTTGCACCACTCTGAATGCTAGAATCAGGAAAGTTGATTATTACCTCAGGCACTTTGCCAACTTGATCAAGG